GTGTGTGTGTGTGTGTGTGAGTGGGTGACTGGGTGGGTCCGTAAATAAACCTCAACTTTCTCCACATTTGCACATATAGTACCAGCACACATTCCCACATTCGCACCACCTGATTACGCCTGATTACAGACTGCTGTCTTCTGGTTGTGACAACAATTCAGATGTACGGCTCGGCACACACACACACACACACACACACAAAGCGTCCCATCGACCCTGGCAGCATATTTCCCAAATGAACAGCATCAGTCCTGTCAACACAGACATCTCTCACTGCGAGTGAAAGACATACACCTGGCGGTAGGACACACTTAAACAATGATAGATCTGTGTACACACACACACACACACACACTTTATAAACACATCTGGCAATCAGAGATATGCAGAAACCCACAGCAGGGAGAAGGAGATCAGTGGGATATTGATTATTACAAACACACATTCACACACCTGCACTCTCCATCTCAATCCCTCTCAACCCCCCCCCCCCACACAGACACACACATGCACACACACTCCACCGCTGAGAGAGAGACAGACTTACTGACGGGCTGGAGGACAAATCATTTACTGGCAGCCATCGTCTCCTCGCCTGCTAATCCAGGCTGTGTGAGGCGGACGGTGTTGACATCTGAGACCAGTGTGTGGGCCCCTTTCATATCTGACCTTTAACACGGCCAGACCAGAGCAGGTAAAGGTCCCCAACTCCCCAGTGACTTCGCATAGATGTGATGCTGCACTCCAGAGCAAAAGCAAGCGAGAGGGCCAGATAGGGAAGAGAGAGAGAGCACTGGGATAGATTATTAAACCTTGAAAAAAAGGTATTAGTTATTTTTTTTAAAAGGCTTACTTCCCCTTTCCTTTCAAGATCACTCATTCAGATCAAGGGTTTTTTTTTGTGCTCAAGAGACAATATTATTCAAGTGACTTCCCAAATCAAATCAAAATGAAAGTTCCTTGAAGTAATATACTGTACAATAATGAACAAATTACATCTAATGCCAACGTTTAAAAACGTAAACATATTTCTTACTGAGGGGTTAGAATGCGATTGGATACCAGGAGAAGAAGCTCGATACCACTCCTTCCTTTAAGAACGATGCTTAGGCTGATGTTGAGCGTTTTACAGTCTTTGTGCTAAATCGAGCTGACTGCTTACTGTGAAGACATTATAATAGCACCAATCTCTTTGTCTAACTCTGCAAACCTTCCCTCGGATTGTACCTTAACCCTACTATGTTTGTAGATATTGTAGAAATTAAGTAATATGACATATTCATATGAAATAATAATTAAAAACAAAATCCAGTATTATGCCAAATTATCCAATATCCTTAAATCTTTAAATAGGACTGCGATGCAACTTTAGTTAAGGGAGGTTGCTCTAACGTGGTCATGGCATGATGGCAAGTGTTAATCCTCATTATCACCAAACGACCTCTAACATCCACAGCTCTGCCCGGCCGGGAGGAGGGGGATAAGTGCAGTTTTTCACTCGCCGACCCGTAGCCCACGAGACCTGCCACATGGGTCAATCGGCCAGGGGTGCCGCGTCTGTTAGGGCCAGGATGAGCCGGATAGCTGGTCACCAAAGCAGTTTAATCTTCAACAGATTCCCACCACCTGGCCCTGTTGGCGACCCACCAAGCCCTTCAGCCCTCCGATCTGGCAACTCCCAGTGTCGTGTTGCACAGGGGTTCACTGGCTAAATCAACTGGAAAGCAAAGCTAGGCACATAATATATTTGAACCTCCGTTTCTTAAAACGAGGTGGTGTTGAGCGCGTCATCCGCTGAACTCCCATGAACAGTCCCGCTGTGTGTTGGGTACTGTTGGAGCCACGGGTGGCCCGCAGGCTATTCTGCTTTATAAGTGTGTGTGACAACATGAATGTTTGCCTAAGGGGAGGATTTGCTCTGAGGTCTTTGATTACCAGTTTGCAGGCAGGCTTTTCAAAGTGACAAATTCTTATATTCCCCTTTCAGCAACGTAGCATGTGGCTTGTACTTAAATCTCTCGTTTGCTGGATGAGGATTTATTGCATTGGCTTGGCTGTCCACATCTTTGTTGGAAGTGTGCGCTGCTGAATTGTCTTACGCCTCTGAATGCAGTGCGAGGTTAACCGTGCGCGGCTTAACTCCGAAAGAAGGCTAAAGAAAAGCCAAGAAAATGCCTTTTTTGTGGTTTTACAGAGTAATCAAGAGGGTCGTACAGTGTTTCGCATCGGAGGTATAACTGGCTGTACTAGATTGCATAACCAACGAGAATTTGTGACACAATTTGGACACAGCAGATTAATTTCCCTATCCTCCAAATCCGCCGCTCAGCACATTATCAGCCTTTCTGCACTCCAAAAAAACAACAAACACATGCACACAGACCCACACGTTGCCCCCATTAAACAACATCTCACTTTGCAAGAGATTTAACTAAATCTTCTTTTCGTCTCATTAACTTGTTTTTCTGTATGAATGTATGGATCCCACTTTATGCAACATTTGTTCGGTCGTAATACCGAATAAACTTTTACAATCTACCGTTAAGACCTCAATGGTATTAAATTCACAATGTTGTGAAGCTGAAAAGAGCCATAAACAGCAAACATTTAGTATTTTTTATTCAAAAGTTTAAAAAAATGGTTTAGTGTTCACAATTTAATTTTTCATACATCTGTAATTGCAATCTCATTTTAAAGCTTGGAAACACTCTAGAAATAACAGTCCAATCCAATTCAGCTAAACTAAAGTGCGTTGATTAAAATGAAGACATGTGCTGTGCAGGAAAAACAGGGGCAGGAATCTCTTTTAACACCCAGACACATTTGGATGACTAATAATAGTCCGGACTGTTCAATGAATCATGGTTATTAGGCACAGTAAGAGAAAAATATTTTCACTTCAGTCCCCTGGCTGTTTTTTTTCGTTTGGACACACAGACACCGCCTCACTCACAAGACCAAATAAAGAGTTATATATATTTGTGCTGCACTCAGCTTCCACTTGAAAACAGAGGGTCAGAGTCTAAGAAATGGAGCACCCGGATTGAAATAGATGAGTGTAAAGGCTGGAAAAGAGGCTGAGAGGCACCGGGAGATGGAGAGAGGAGCGCAGACTGAGAAAGAGAGAGGAATGGCTTGTAGGTGGGGACCTTGAAGAGCTTTTGTTCTCTGAACACACAGAGTTAGTGAGGCATCACTTGGCAGTTGGTTCAAAGCAACAAACTCTAAATCAATCTTTTACAGCTTGTCCAAACACACTCACACAGACACGCACACACTGAACACAAAGAAAAGGACGCACACACGTAGCAGCACCCGCAAACAAGCAGACACTTTGTAGAAGACCTGTGTTGAGGAATAAAACCGTTTTCACTTCAACTTCAGAAGCGTGATGGGCGATGAAATAGGAGAGTCTGGCTGTGTGTGTGTGTGTGTGTGGTGTGTGTGTGTAAATGTGTGCCCATGCTTTGTTTCTTTAATGAGCTCGGTTTACACACTTCGTTAATTGGCATGCACAGCAAAGGCCCGTCCAAGATCTACAGGCCAGGCTGCAACACACACACACATATACAGATGCACATCTCCATTTCACTGTGCTTATTTATTCATGTATTAGTTAGTTTGTTCCACTAGGTTCACTTTCAGGCTGCTCTAGTAATTGCCACTATATTCCCTGCATTGATTTCCACTCCAACACTTTGTGCCATACACACGAGCGCACTCAAATGCATACACAGTCGCCGACTCCCTGTGCAAATCTGCCCTCGCAAGAAACAAAGCAACGGCAAATTGTATTCTCGCTCAATTTATCCATCCATTTATCCATTTAAGTGTAGCTATCTCCCTAACATGTACACATTTTGTGGAAACAAAGAGACAGGTGAGACAGCAAGAACTGCAGCTATTCTAATTAAAGTATCGGGGAAGCGAAGGGAGCCGAGCTTTTCTTTCAGCCCACACCTCATCACTCTGGCTGTAAAAATAGCATCAGCCCCACAATCCGAGGCAATGTTCTCTCTGCTTGCAGCTCATGGTTGCTTTCTGGTGAGCGACAGCAGGTACAGTGGAGAGATTTAGCGGTGGCTGTACAGCAAATACAGTGCAGGCAGACTTTGTCCACATAGGCATTCTGTTCAAGCAGTGTGTGATTTGTGTCTATGTGTGTGAGAGGGGAAGGGTGTGTGTGTGTGTGTGTGTGTGTGGGGAGAGGGGGGGCACCGTGGGGCAGGCGGGAACAAGAGCCTGCTGGGAGAGATAACTTCTCAAATCTGTCCTGTTCTTCTGACTCACACCCTTCTGCCCAGACCGCTAAAAGCTTACCCCTCTTAGGCTTACCCCTGCACACAACACACACACACACACACACACGCATACGCACACACCGGATCCTCGTATCAACCCTATCCCCAACTCCCATTTCAGTCGTCACAGTTCTCTGAAGTCCATTGGAGCTGTGGCTGATTTGGGTAAGATGGGCATGGAAAGAGACAAGACACAGGGATGTACAACAAGTGCATTAGCGCAGGTCTGTCCAGCTGGGGTTATTAACTATTAATGAGGACATGTGAATTTATGCACATATGCACTTACACTAGCAAACACGCATTCACAGAGGGAGAGAAAAAGTTGGAGAGGGGTCGTTTAATATTTGAACAGGATGTTTTAAAGTCTAAATTCAATTAGGGTGACACAAGGAGGCCCTGTGTTACCCCCCCCAAACAACTATTAAAATGTAATGTATTCATGTGTATATCATTCTGCCAGTCTTTTTGTTTATCATCCATGTGCTCGCTTGCTAGAACTGCTTTTGTGTTTTTAAGCAGCCATCTCCTCTTTGTCCCCATAAACAAACAACTACACCTCCTTCATCGCTTTAACTCCTCTTCTCTAAACACCTCTGGGAGTGAGCGGACAGCCCAGGAGGACCCGGTTATGTCAAAGAGATTCCTTAGACCTCAGCTTTGAATAAATCTGTCCCCAAACCAGCAGAGTAACCCCACCTCAGACAGCACAGGCCGTCATCACGCGGAGGAGCCACCACGGACAGCTCCCTCATTGGATCCCTCTGCTCTGCTCCGCACCACAGAAAGCTCCACGCTGCAGCCTGGATGACACATGAGGTCCTTTAAAAGACTTGTTGGTGAAGTCAGGCGTATGCGGATTGTGCAGAATTTTGTGCAGACTGCTCAGTCTTCCACTAATTACGTGTACAACACAGATGGGGACATTGTTACCTGGCGATGTTGCATGTTCGCGGTGGCATTGACATAATGAAAACTTGCACAGGATTTCAACTGCTTCCTCAGTTTTCTGTAAAGTGCATATCACTATCTGTCTATATTTGTCCTTGCTGCTCAGATGGAAAACAACAACATGCAGAGGCACAATCAAATTAATCTTTAAACAAAACAAAGCTCTAAACAAGTACTTAAGCGAGGTGGCACTTTGAGCTAAATCCTAATGCCACCATGCTGACAATAACAATGCTGATCTTTAGCTGGCGTAATGGTTGTTCAACAACTTAGTGTAGCTATTTGTCCTGTTCTCTCTGTGGTGGACTAACAGACCAACGTTGCCATCTGGAAACCCGCACTGCTATCATGGCTACAAATGGAACATGCTGCTGCCTGATTTTCAAATTATATTTAGAACATTCTCAACAAGCCAAAGCCAAATCATTTCTCGTTGAGATAAGAGCAACCAAACGTGTCAAATGACATATTGACTAAAAATAATGGACAATGTAATTCCTTGTGACCAAAAGCCCTAAAGCCATCGGCATCACAAATAAAGCTCCTATTTGTGCCCCTTTCTGCCACAGCTGCAGTCCGGGGGAGGACACAAGGCGGGCTTAGCCTCAGCAGATAAAGGCAGGCGGAATGCTAATAAAGTTGGATTCAATCAAATTGAAAGCAGTCTTTTGGCATTTCATGGCTTTAAAATTAGAATTTTCATTCTGCTCTCTACTATTCCCACAGAGTGATTCTTATTCTCAGTCAAACCGAGAGAATGTGTTATTTACTGACTTTATACACAGATGTAAAATACTATTATAAATTATCTTCTTGGAAATCATCTTTTCTTATTGTAACAAAATATTTGCTGCTGAACAAAAACTGCACATCAGATACCATCTCTTTCTTTTGCGTTTTTCTCCCGCCATTCGTTCATTAAGTCCGGTTTTCTGGCAGCACTGACACATATCTTGTCTCCTCGGCCTCGTGGGTTATAACTAAATCCAGCTAAGCAACACATTCCTGTAATGAACAACTGTGGCTGCAGGCAGAAAATATTGGGCATCGTTATCGTTGGCAGATATAAGAGCTATATGCATGTTGTGTGTGAATAAAAAGCACTAGCACAGATGTAAAATGAGCTAAAAACTGCCTATTAACACAGACCTTAACAGTACGTTTCATGGTGCATGGCTGGCATAATATTAGTCATATTAGGAGGGGGATTAGTAAGAGAACCCGTCTTAAGGATGTGGTCCGTGGGAGGAGGTGCCACACACTGCTTGTATTACTGTCAGCATTGTCTCACACACACACACACACACACACACACACACACTGTGAGCCTAGCGAGCCTCGCCTGCTCTCCTCAATGGAAACACGTCACGCAGAGGAACACTGCCTGCTGTTTCTCATTCCCCGGCTCCGACGTGCGTTTTTTCATCTTTTCCATTGCAGTGTTGGTTTGAAACGTATCTCGTAGAAAAACTAAAATGCTGCAGCTCTGTTGGAAGGTTGATTTGTAAAGATTAGAAGAACGACTCTCGCGCTCCCTGACAAGGTGTTACTGACGCGACTTGAATGTAAGTGTCCTCGGGCAAGATGCTGAGCCCCAAACGGCTCCCAAAGGCTGTGCCATCGTTGTGTGCGTCATTGTGTATGAGTTTATGGAGCAGAGAGAAAAGTTACATCAGCCACTGGTTGATACGTGGACACAAACGTATACAAATGTGTACGTATGTATTTCTCCATCTCATTCTTCATCTCTGCCATTGGTTGGCTCCAAGCAATGGACCACTTGAACCACGCTAACACACAAACGGCAACAGCAACTGCTGTGTGTTGTGCTGCAGCTTAAACATATCAATCCACGGCATACAAACTTCAGACTGAATTCATAATTGCGTAATTAGATATAATTGCATGTGCTGTGGGCTGGCCTAACAACCTAATGAGGCAGCCATAACGCTACTGATTCCACTTATAAGAGCATAATGCTACAAGATAAAGGGGCGCACACAGACAAACATAGGCAGCCAGCGGGTGCAGGGCCCCGAGCTGAAAACAGGTAACAACAAAGAAAATAAAAATACTAAAGTGACTGAATCGGTACACGACTCTCATTATTCCCTGTCAACAGCAGCGCAGTTCTTCCCTGACTGTGAGTGTCTGTGTGGTTCCCACGTCACAGCCTCGCCGGGCGTCATTTGCTCCCAACCGAGGAAATGACCAAGACGAGACTCACACAGACTCATGTTTAGGAGAGCAGAGATCTCACACACACACACACACACTTTGCTCTCCTAATAACCACAGTGATCGCTGTGTCGTCGTTGTTGTTGTTGTTGTTGATGTAGAAAGCTGCCGCAGCCAGAGGGTTGTGTGTGTGTGTGTGTGTGTGGCGTCGTTCTGACTTCTGCTTAACAGCTCCTCAGCCGTAATGACTCAGCCGCGATGCCGCGAAGGCTGGAGCATCTGTGTCGGTCGGTTTATTACCGCTGCTGAAGGTGACACCACATCTACGCATCTACAGCCCACACACTGTCACTGCAGACTCATTACCAAAAGCTAGAGCAATAATCACAAATAATATGGATTTCTTAATAGGTTGCAACGTGTCACAGCAGATTTGGCTGCTGCGAAATAAACAATATTTGTTGCACACCAACATTTGAGCCACTGTGGTAACACAACATATACCGCAATATGCTCATAAATATTGTTAACTAAGCCTCAAGGAGCCTGCAAGTACTGCAAAATTGAAATGTGTAAATCAAACGTACTTAAAAAGCAATCGCCATTCTATATTAAGAAACTGCATATTACATTTTATAGAGATAAGCTTTTTCTTTTATTCATCTTGGGTTTTGTAATACTTGCACTATAATGCTCCTAAGCTGCTTTAGTAGAAATGTACTTTTTGATAACAGCCATATAAAGAAAAACTTACCACAGGGGTGTTCAGTAGATACAAACAAATGTTTTGTACCCAATCGTCAGGGTGAATGATCATTTTGAGTGACTGAATTAGTGAACTAGTACCTTAACTCCTGGTGAAAATAAGGGATACATTAACTCGCTTAGTTTAGGGAAAAAGTCAACAAACGTCGTAGTTAGTTGAATTGAACTAGTCGATCAGAATGTCCTCCTCTATTTTGAAATGAAAAGTTGAGTTTGAGAGTGGCAGAGAGGCAGCACGGCACAGAGTTTGGTCATTGGCCATTAACAGTGTAAATGGAGGACAACATTTAATGACAGGACCCTGGAGTCACTGATGAGGGTGATGAATGGCTTTCAACTCAAATATATGGCAGGTCATCACTCACCGCAGATTTAAGCACAAGCGTACTGTGCATTTTTTTGCACAAAGAATCACACACTCACTCCCGCTCTCTCTCGTTCTCTCCCTTATTAACCTTCTGCTCATCCACTTATGCTGCCTCGCACGTGCTATTCAGTATTGTATTGTTGGCCCTGTAATTACATCAATAGCTGTGGAAAACACTCATGTATGCACCTGTAACAAGCACACACACACACACACACACACACACACACACACTGTTATTAACAAATTAGTATGTTATGGTCGTAACTGGAAAAAAATACTTTTTGGTCGATGGATAATTATTAACTTAAAGTTACTACATTTTTTTTTTGTGAATTATTTTTTTTTAGCTTTAGTTCAGTTTAATGGGTTCAAATCTTTAAATTGGCTGTTAATTTACAACACATTTTCTAATACTATGAAAGAAAGAAAAACATTATATTTAAGATTCTATAAACAGATTTATTTTGGCAGCTTGTGTTGACAGGAATTCCAAATATTGTTAATTTGTCCAATCATGTCATTTAAATACACATTTAAACAATATGGCAGTAACGGGCAGAAGTTTATTTGTATTTGAAGTAAAACAATTTATTCAAATTGTCCAAAACACAAAGGTATAAAATGTGAAAGTGTAGAAAAACGTAATTTCTTCACACTTGAGAAGAAAGAACCACAAATAAAGCATTAATGACCAATGATCCATTGTTTTAAACACGGACCCTTTGCCTTATTTTCTGCTCTGCTTTGTTTTGTCTTGGTGCCCTATTCAGCCCTTTGGCACCTCGTGTTAACTTCCTTGTTTGCGCGGCTAAAACATTAAATTTGGCACAATTGTTTCACTGCGTTATCCAAAGTACTAACAGTAATTTCTCTAATCATCAAGTAGCTAATTGTTTAAGTTCCACTCATATGACTAATTTCAGACAGAATCAAACAACAAACTGTCTCTCAAACACCGAAAGAAAGACTCAATGTTTTTTCCACAGATGCAACTTCTCTCTTCCTTCTGGCCTTCACCACTTCCTTGCTCTGCAGTCAAGGGAGTCAGTGTGTGGGGCACAGAGGTGCTGGGTAAACAGTGGTTCTGCAAAGTGCTTTTTCCTAGCCTCTGTATACCAGGGTGGTAGAGGCAGTAATGGAGTTTGCTCAGGCTAAGGTAATCCTGAAGCTGTGAGCACAGCATCTGCTGTTGTTTCCCTCTGACGCCGTCCTGTTCCACAGGAGGTACCGAAGCTGTTGTAGCTGTCACCGGTACTGTCCCACACGGGCCGCTTGAGAGCAAAGCAATGTGTTTGTGTGAAAAGGTATTTTCTGCAACAAAAAAAGTGTGTCAAAAAATATGTTTTTGTGTGTGTGTGCATCCTGAGTAAAAATTGCATGCAGATAAAGGGATGGCTTGCTCAAAGATGTGTGTCTGTGGGGGAGGGAAGCTGGGTGTGTGTGTTTGGTGGAAAACTCTGGATTTGTGTGAACTGTATATGCGTGCAAAGAAAAAGAATCTAGAAAATATATGTTCGGATGTGATAGCTCACCTTTGGGAGGCGGGATAAGAACAGGGCTGCCGGCTAGGAATGAATTTACAGGGCCTGATCTCCTAGAAACAATTTCTCCATGTGGGTTACACACATTTAGAGTGGCTGCTCGGCCCCCCTGGGCCTCGGCACACCACACACAGCTACTGGAGGTGGCCAATGAAATACAGGACACCTTTTATAGGACACATGCTTTTTATTTATTTGATTTATCCCCTGTAGATTTCTTCACTTCCCCTCTGCCTCTCCCCCTCTCTGTGTGGGTCTGTTTTGGTCTCTGCCTCACTTGCTCCGACTTCTCATTCTTTTTCTTTCGTTATGAATTATCCCCTATTCGTCACGCATCATGCACAGCTACGGGAGGTGGTTGGACAAGAACAAGATCACTTTTTACTAGGGCTGTCAATAGATTAAAAAAAAAACTAATTAATCGCACATTTTGAAATTCATTAATCTCGATTAATGGCGATTAATGAATGTTTTAAAATTTAGTTTTTCTTCTAAAGACTGAATCTTAAATGAGTAATCACTCTAGAAAGTATGTATTTTAGACACTGTTGTTTAATTGTCAATGTTATTTTAAACACAAAACTACACGCGATTGATCATCTTGGAGGCAGAATTCCACCTGGTGGAACATGTTGAACTAGGGACTCTTCCTGCTGCTCTCGTGCACTTTGCTCTCAATTCTCCATCATTCAACGGCTGTGTTTGAAGTGCCAACAATCTCCCCACATTTAGCCAGGACATTTTCAAACCGTCTTTTAGGGACACAGTGGTGGTCTTCTGCAGACTGTGTGCCCCTCAGTGTAACGTTAGATGTTGAGATGGAAGTAGCATAGCAGCAAGCTTAGCCTAGCAGCTATCATAGCAGTGCTTTAAGTGGTCCGTTTGCCATTCACCCCCCTTCTGTTTGACACATGGAGTAATTCCTCTGCACAGTTCTCCGCTGTTTGTCGCACCACTGTTTTAGTTTACTTCCAAGGCAAAGTTGCTTTCCGTGTCTGTAAGGAAATTGTGGATTACGGAAACAGGAATACTTGCTGTATTTTAAGGATAGCTCATGTTAGCTTTTGATCATGTTGCCATGAGGAGGCGGGATAAAATGGTCCAATTTGAACAAGTCATGCGGACTCTGCTGATTTGCAAATCAGTGTATCCTCTACATCACGCTTCAAACACAGCTTTTGGTTTTCCAGAAATAAACATGCACCGGGGCGTCCCTGCGGCACAGCGATTAGGACGCCCACTCTGACCTTTGTTGGATCTCTCTCCCTTATTTCCTGTCACCTTTTCACTGACACCAATGTAGATCCAGCTGTCACAGAAAACAGGCTGTGATTACTTAATGTGTATTAAATGACATGGCTCAAAAGACGATACAGGTCGCATGAATGCATGTCAATTTGTTAAAACATGAAACTATAATATATTATGTTCACTTGAAAGTAACTTCTTCTTCTTTCCTCTGTCCTCCTCCATCTTTTCATCCATTCTCTCTTTTTCATTTAATGAAACATGTAGCAGAACAAAGTCTACAGACTAGCCCCTTTTCCACCTGACAGTAAAGGAGGTGGGGCACGAAAACGTTTTAACATTTCATGAAGGAATTCATCAGCCTGTTTAAAAGTATATTTGAGAACATTTTAGGAGCTTGTGACCCCTCGTGTGTTTCCTTTAGTGCATTCCTGTATTTTCCATACATACCTCAGCACCCTATCTTGGTACCCAAAATCTAACATCCCACTGCATTGCTGCTGTCCTGTCAATCAAGTCTCACGGTTAGTTCTATTCCTGCTTTTTTTGTAACTCACTCGCTCAATTTTCTCTTATTTTCTCCCTTGCTCCATTTTCTCTTCTATGTTCCTTGCAGGGGCTCGTGAGAGTGGGAGACAGAGACAGATGGAACTGAAAGATGTCAAAAATATGGCCACACGTGGGATGACCGCCATTGTTTCAATGAAATCACCTTTTAGCCACAAACACTGGGCTTATAAACATGTCACGGTCCTTAAAAGGCCAAGAAAAGCCAAAAAGCATGATTAGGAACGACACATGCTACATGCGGGCTGTTCTCACATGGTGGAGTCACCAAACAGATCTCGTTTGGAACCAGAAGGAACCGTAACCTACAAACCTAAATAATGCCATTTTAACCCAAAACACATTATTTTTTTCTCAAGCACTTGTCTTGCCTAAATAAAGGGTTTGCACATGAGTTGCAATGATTGCTCGCGTTGATTCATGTTCGGTTGGAAAGCTCACAAAAAATAATTGGATAACTTGTGTAAGAGGACAGCTATTGCTCCTAAAGACATTACCTCTAACAGGAGAACACATCCAGAGCTAAAAGAAGTCAGTGTAACAACTTACAGCCTCCACCCGGCCACCAAACTGAAGCAATGTCGCCAATAATGGTCACCTTAAGAATTACCATCTACATGAGGTGAGCCATGAGGCTGCTGCACAAGAGCCCACCACTGCGTTCAGGCTGATGAGTTACATGTTCCTGTCATGCTGTTGATTGCAGCAATATAGCTTTTCACTTGAATGGACGGGAATTCACACAGTAGCAGTCGAAACGAGGTGAGCTCTGCGTGACACAGACCGCGCTGGACCCGGTGCCACATGCCCGTTTACGCACAGCTCGGACCAACCCTGTGTTGTGCGCGTTAAAAAGAGGGGAGGTGCAACACCTGAAAGCCACAACAATTTGTTTTGCTATAAAATCCCTATATCGATAATAAATCTCATACCATGTCAGGGTACGCTGATGGGATATTTCCTCTTTTTTACTAAATTCTAATGCCTTTATAAAATCTCCAAATTGGAACGGATGAACGAAGTGTTCTCTATTATGTCCATCAGTTATTCGGAGACAAAAAAAACGACCAGGTTGTCATCAAACATATTAATCTCGCCTGACAGGTGTTTCACTATTTCACTTTGTCTACAGCACGCTGCAAACAATCCACAGACCAGGCAGTTGTCTGCAGGCACCACGCCGGGGACCCGTACCTGTCGGTGAGGTGTGACCGTGTTCTGTTAGCCCAGCAGGTGATCCTCTCTCCTCATAGCGGCTCCGCGATCCGAGACGGGGGAGAGGCTGGCATCCCCTCTCCGGTACCATAAAACGGTTACTCCCTCACACCGGGCCGCGCGGGTTCGACTGGAGCCGCAAAAGTTACACCATAGCCTCCGACTCCACAGCCGGGCAAGAGAGCAAACGAAGCCCGTGGCGGATACGACCCTCCTGGGTTAAAAGCAGCGGTTACTCCGGTGCAAGAAAAAAAAAAAAAAAAAAAGGTCCTCCTCAAAGTTCCGCTCCTTTGCCCCGCTTCTACCCAACGGTTCAGACGGGAAACTTAGTTATTAAGACAGAGCAACATGGTAGAAACATCCAACTTAGAACGTCCTCCAACAGCCTGTTGTTGTGTTGTGTTTTTTTGCACCGCGGGACCCCTTGTTTATCCTCCTGATGTGGGAGCGACGAGAACGTAGCGGAGTGTGACGGGACGGAGGTGCGATGCGGTCCGGTCGGGGGAGTCGGGCCGACTGTCGGCGCGCTGCCGCCTGCGCGCCTGCGAGACACCGGAGCGCGGCTGCGCCTGTGAAGCGGAGCAGCGCCCCCTAGCGGCCCGAAGAGGCGACCAACTGAGGGGAGAAGGAGCATGCGATGCATGCAGATGACACGCGTGCAAGTGATGTGAAGGAGAATATGCGTGTTGCTGTTGGAGATGTGATAATTGTCATGGATTGGCAGACAAATAGAAACAGGCATGAGCCATTGTAGGCCCCTTCAGCAACCACAAACACGCACCAGCCAGCACCAGCCGTCATGTGTCAGCAATTGCTCTCTTGGGGATGGACATTGGGAAAGCCTGAAATGTTTGTGTCACTTCAAGAAGGACAAAACCATTTGGACCCCCCCCCTCCCTCGCCTCTCTCCCTCTCGCGGCTGTGTGAAGTTCAAATTAAATTGAACTCACGTCAGCTGAGCTATGGGCCTTTCCCCGTAGACTAGACCAACAGGCGCAGAGGGGTGATCGACACCGTGCCCGGCCAAATTGACCCGTGTGTTAGTGTTTGTGTGGGTGTGTGTATGTGTGGTCTTCCACTGCTTGGAACAACCTGAGCTGTTCAAGGAAGTTTACTCACAACAAATGACTTTGTCCAGACTCTGTGACTCTGCAGTCCATTTGAGGAAGCAGCCCCGCGGGCTCTAGGGTGTAACTGTGTGTGTGACTGTGCGTGTGTGTGTGTGTGTGTAGGTGGGTGCCCCCACCAATGTGTTTTTGTGTCTTGTCTGTGTGCTTGAGAAACAAGTAATAGATATTATCTGTTTCTCTAGCAGCCAAAGAAACCAGGCAGTTTAGAGTCTGTGTGTCTGTGAGGCGTGATGGAGGTGACGGTGTGCGGTTGCACACGTGGGTGATTCATAGTGAGGGCGTGATTGTGCGCGTGTGCATGTGAGAAGGCTTGGTGCCAGTCATACATCATTTCACCCAGTGAGCTAATCTGTCACTCTGACAAAGAATTCGGATTACTGAATTCCCCTCTTCGTTTTGCCTCACTCTTTCTCACACTGTTTTATTTCTCATTCTTTGATTCCTTTGTATTATCTTCTTAATATAGCAAAACATTCTCCATCTCTGTCTGTCTCTCCACTGCTCTTTCTCTCTCCGCTCTAGTGAGATGGGGGAATTACGGATAGCCAAGCCTTCGGATTCGTCTTCTACGCGGCTCTGGCAGCAAAGTTCAGGATGTGTATTCCAAGATGACAAACAGAAACGCACATGCAGGCCGGATCAATGGGCTACTAACTTGTTACACCTCAAAATCAACCTCATTCCTTTGGGATCTGTGACATTTGCACAAGTCCATCCTCACCCGCGCACATGAATACGCACACGCATGCACGCACGCCAGCTGGTGAACTCCCAATCACACAGGGCGGGATTTAACATGTACCAATCAGAGTGCCTGGTGGATTTCTGTCACAGAATAAATAGTTAATTCCCACTGAGAGAAGAGCTTTACGGATCACATGACAGCCCTTGGGAGTCGTGTTTTTGCGCACATAGAGAGGCACATGCTAACACACATTCACACAGCTACGTGGGCATGTTCATAAAGCAGCTCCAAATAATCTTATCACGTTTGCTTGTTCCCTTGAATCACTGAAGGGAAATCAGCTCAACCAAACAACTGAAATGGAGAAATATGCTGGCGGACGATGAGATAATCCTTAAAGGCAGGAGAAGATGCCACCTGGCCTTTCAGCAGCTAATGAGTTCGGACAATCTACCACGGAGCAGAGGCCACACTCAAAACCTCCCAGAGAACATGTGAAAGAAACAATATTTTATCATTTCAAAGGTTGTTCCTCTCAGCCAGCCCATCGGTGTGTAAGAAAGTCGATTTTTAAAGCTACTGTAGCCAAAGGATGAGCAGTACACCATAGTATGTCAGGCATTTGAAACATTTGATTGTCACCTGAAAACCTCCGCGTAAAGATAAAGGCTTTTTTACACTATTATGTAATGTGTACAAATGTGCTTTTGTTTAAAAGCCTCGCCAGAGGACTCTTATTAGAAAAACCACGTGGCTCTGAGTGCTGCGTGCATCTCTTCATTTGGAATACACACCCAGAAACGCACACCTTGTGTTCCGTGTTTCATTGGCAGGCAGTAATACCGCCATCAGCATATGAAAGACGGCAGCTGGAAGGTGTAGCCGTCACCGTTGTTGTTCCTTGTTGCTCGTTGTGTTACCCATTTGGAGGGCAGCTCCTCTGTTCTCGCTGGCCCTCGGGGCTGTTTCACTCCCCCCGTCTTTCTGTGTGTCTCCTTCTGTCTGTCGGCCTCCACCGCCCCACTCCCTCCATGTAGAATATCCCCAGAAGGAAGGAACTAAACAGGCGTTGACAAACGTTGACTCCATGGAAAACTTAAAGTAGCAACAAAGGTATCCTGAAAGTATCCACTAGCAGAGAATTCTCTGAGAAATTAATTTATAAACTCGAAAGAGATGAATAAGCAATTTCTTTTTATGTAAATTGTGCTTTTTAGACGAATTTGATCTACGGCTTTAAAAGAAAGTTGCGGCAGATCACTCATCACAGACCGTTAGTGGAGTTGAAAGACCGAGCTGCCCTCGTCAAAGAACCCTTTTCCCGAAATAGCAGCAGGGCGCACCGTAGCATTTGAACTCTCTCCCATGTTCTCTGTTTCTTTCCCTGAAAGATGTAAATGTTCAAACAGACTAATTCCTTCAAAGCCTCGATGAGCACGAGAGATCAGTCTCTGCCCTCATTGCTAATTGATGGTCTTGCATCGCAGCATGAAAGCTCCATGAGTCTTGCTTGAGACTCTCATTAGCATCAACTACGCTAGAGTTAGCCGCATTAAGATTACATGACAGACGTACCAGACACACCGTATGCGGATCTGCTTTCTGCCGCGTTAAATGTCATTTACGGTACACGGGGATGAGCTGAATGATCCCAGTGCCAAAAGCATGAGGCGGGATAGCCCGCTGTTATTCAGATGGTCGAACCAATGTTGCTCTCTTCCTCACCTGCCTTTGTACAAGCCACAAGGTACATGCTTCCTTCCCAGCGTGCGCTTTTCCCCTGAGGAGGCCGGCGTGGTGTGTGAACTTCAGACAGGAGAGCAACATGACAGATTGACTGGCATCATTTTCCAGCTGGCATGGCAGCACCTGTAAATCCTCCAGGGGGAGCGGGGAGGATGCTGACTTTAGAAAGATGCTCTGCTTGGCCTGTTGCCACGGCACCATTCACATGGAAGAGCAAACAGAGGAACGAATGTAGCTTTGTAGCTTTTGTGAGGTTAATGGATCCTCTTTTAATGCGGTAATTATTATTTCAAGCTTTAACGCCACTGTTGTCGCATCTTGACTCCAATAGGCTGTATTGAAAAACATGTTAACAAAAACACATCAAATCATTTTACACATCAAGCAGACACTTGGAAAATTCCATTTACAATATTCACTCTTTTTTTGCTCTATTTTCTGTCTTTAGCTGCTAAAGTGTCCACTGCGTTCACCTGCTGATCGCTAACTGTGCCTGATAATTGGTGCTGTGCAGCAGGTGTTTTTTTGAAAAAGCAGCCCGATGTGGCTGAGAAAGAGGTCAGTGATTGAGGAGAATGTGGATGTAAGTGCAGGCAGCGCAAAGACAGCTGAGGGGAACTGTAAATGTGGGTTCTAATTCTCTAGTCGGATTGCCATGAAGAGCCGGCCCTCTCACACATTGTTACAGTAAGAATAGTGATATGAAGCTTTCAAGGAACAGTGTGTATCATTTAGAGTCATTGGTAGAAAGATAATATAATACCCATAAATATGTTTGAATCAGTGTATGACCACTTGCCTGTTTGAAAAGTTTCATTGTCATTGATCGTTAAGCTCCGCAGCACATCTCTCTAACTACATTTTAAATGTGCTTCCTGATATTAATGATTTCATATGACAACATTACTTTTGCTGCACTAGAAACAAGATATATTTATATTTGAAATATAAATTAAAGTTCTATATTGTTTTGTAAAGCAATTATCTAGTCATAAAGAAGATTATAGTATTGATAAAAGTTGCTCCTAGTTTTAATACAATTGTATGATAACTATTCATGCCAGGGTTGCAAAGGGAGGCGTGAGCGAAGGGGTAACTCGTTGGTTGCACCCTAACCCTAACATATGCCCCTACATTTTAAACATTGTTCCTTTAAACTTGCCTTGTACTGAACGTACAATAAGGTACAACATAATTCATACAATAATGTAATCAATTCCCTTATTTTCATGCCAAAAGTCATGAGTTGCAGGAACTCCACCGACCCTTTGCCAAAAGAACTCAATGGTCCAATGGTCAAACGCCTACGGACCTAACGCGTTCCTCAGGGCCTTTACAGTATGAACGAGTGGATGTGGATGTTTTCAAATCATTTATGCATTTATTTGGCAAGGACATAAGTAGCTCAGAAAGGCTCACGGGCTTTGTCACAGAAGAAGAGGGCAGATCTAGATTATCTCTTTTAACTCATCAGATGCCCATCTGTGGTGGGAGTCAGTTAACCCATACATGGAGAATGATATGCGCACCACCTTTTTTAAATATTCAGAGGTGAAGTGGTGAAGATGATGTCACAGCTTCGCAGTGCAAATACAAGCCGTATTTCCTTAAAGTGCAATAGAGATTAACAGGGAAAAGGGTCTTAGTACCTAAGAGACAAAAGAGGGATAGAAATGTTTTTGTTTTTCATTTTCAAACTCGATTCCTTTGCTAGTGTCTTGACCTCTGCGCTCCATTCATCTGAGCAGCAGGATTATGAGGTCCTGTCAGATAATCTCCAGAGCACCATCAGATAAAGGCGCTATAATGCCACTCATAATCCAAAATGTGAGATTATGTTGTTCTGCATTACCGGCTCAGGCCCAAGAATATTTATCGCTTCTTCCATCTTTCTTTTTTTAATCCTCTCTCTCTCTCTCTCTCTCTCTCTCTCTCTCTCTCTCTTGCTCTCCCTTTCTTTCCCTCTCTCAAGCTTGAGAACGGCTTTCGTGGGATGGAATCAGACAGACACGGGTCCATTTGGAGACTCGAGAGCAAAGATGCACGGTCAAATACATTTTTGGCTTTGTGTTGTACTTTATGAGAGAGGCAGAGGGTGTATTGATTTTTATTAGGCTTTAGAGACAGTTGTACGTCTTGCATTGGAAAGTATTAGTAGATATGGTTCCTTTAGCTCATCCCTGCTTCCACCAGCGTGCTACTCTGTGGCTCAATGTAAGCACACTGGTAAGCGCACATAAGGTCCGTCACAGGTACTGATGCACGCTTTTAGCTGTATATTAGAACAGCATCTGCATGTCTTTCCCATCCCCATAAAACCTGAGAAGAAGGAGGCAATTGTTAGTGAACTTGTTCTACTAAACAAAGGGCTGGGCAGCGTGGATTCGTATCTATAGAGGTTTAAAATGCCTGATTGTCAAACAACATCCCATCCATACAGATGTGTGTCCATAACCCCATAGAGGCGTCCCTGTGCAAAGCACAGCCACTGAAAGCAATTCAGTCTGTTTGTGAATGCTGCCAGGGGGACCACACTGCATTCATTCATCCGCCGCCCCCCACCCTCGCCACTTCTATCCCACCTGCTTCCCCTCTTCTCCCCTCGTTCTTCTTTCCTGACCTCCTCATTTTCACCTGATGACAGCACCTACACTTGATTAACGGTAATCCATGCAGGCCAAGTGGGAGCGTTTTATATGAGGCAGCGGGGATGATTTCCACTCACTCTTTCTCTGCTCCCAGTTGCGTCTTTTACTCAACTGTCTCCAGCTTCCTGAGGAAAAAGACACCAGAGGGAGCCACGATGAAAGACGCAGCCCAAATTCCATGCTACTAATAGCGCTATTTTGAAGAAAAATCTGCTCCGAGCATAAGTAGGAGGCAGACAAGGTCGCTAGTTGTAAAATGTTGTTTTGTGGAGAAACATGTTGGGTTTGTTTTTATTTGGTTTTGGCCTTTGTTAAAACGTCAATGTTGCAGTTGAAGGGGGATCGAGCATGAACAGAAGGCAGCGATGGTTCATGAAATGTCAATACGAAAATTGTCTCTCAGAATAGCTCGTGTAAATAAAATGACTCATTTTTTAACCGTAAATATTGTCACTATTTATGTGATTTTAGGGCCCTCTAGTGGTCCAATCTGTCGTATGCTGATGGACCAGCAAGTGAAAATGTGCAGATATGGCTTGTTTTTCTTAAATGTCATTGACATGTTAAGACGCAGATACACTATGAGACTCAACATTTTCAGATCTTCCCAAAAATGCCCGTTCCAAAGTTTCTATCGCCCACATTCCCTGACACACGTTTTTTGTCTTCGACAGTAACACTATCAACAGTACAAAATATTGTACGAAAATATTCCGTTTACGTTAAAGAGTAACTTCCTTTTCTTCTATTTTCATTGTTATAAAACCCATTTATACATATATTTTCTCTTTTGGGTCTTTTTTTTTTATTAAATGTGTTAATTCAGGTGTCCGGCATTTGTTTTCACAGCCTATAGCATTTTATCTTATATACATACAGCATGTTTTGTTTCCTGTGAATTTGATGGCTGAGGAAGGCCCATGGCTCAAACATTGTGTCGACATAAATTCTATGAGACGGGGTATGAAGGCCTCTCCTTCCGAAGCATGAAAGCAGAGTCCAGATCTCCAATCTATTAACCAAACAAGGTTAATGAGGGTGATGTCATGCGCCTTCCTCAGTGCAAACAGTGGTATGCATGCAGCTTGTACTGTGTGTGTTGCACCACTAAGGGCCACTGCATCCTCAGATTTTAACTGGGTAAATGCTGTAAGGGTGAAGTGAGGACATTTATTCCACCTAACCCTCCTGAGCAGACTTCCTGGGCGACTGTGGGTGAGTGGGGAGCACGGTTGTCCTCCAATCAGAGGGTTGTGGGTTCGATCCCAGGCCTGGTTAACCTGCATGTCGATGTGTCCTTGGGCAAGACACTTAACCCAACAGTGCTCCTGTAGCTGTGACTACAGCGTATGAATGGTAGTTATTGATGGGCAGGTGTCACTGTGTATGGTTCTCCTGTCATCAGTGTATGAATAGGTGTGAAAGGGTGAATGATGTCATGTAGTGTTAAAGCACTTTGAGCGGTTGGAAGACTAGAAAAGTGCCATACAAGTACAGGCCATTTACCATTATCATTTACTAGTTGTTCTCTTGTTTTCTGTGTTCACTGACCCTAAATGGCCAGTGTGAGAAAAAGATGAGGAAAGGGTTTCCACAGAGATGTCGTTGATATTTTGGGGTTGTGTCCATGCTGGATTTTATAAGCTCCAATAAATAAATAAAAGGCTAATAAATCAATAAAAGGTGCAACTTTAGACACACAAGCCAGCCTCTCTAAAGGTGTATGCCACTCTGGATACAATATCAGCATAGTCTGTGATACTATAATTCATTTTCTCACAACAAAGGCCCATGAAAGGGTTTATCTTCTCGATTGTTAAACTACCATCTGAATTGTAGTCGTCTAAGAATAAAAGTGCAGACTTTGAACCCAGCAGAACACTGTGTAATGGTGACCTGTTGACCTGTACTATACAACACAATAATTCATTTTTGGTTGATAACACATAATTGTAAGACACATTGCACCAGGCCTGTAAACATGTTGCCAGTGTGCATACAGTTTTCCGCAGCATTTTGGATTGGTCTATCTTTTGGATAGACTTATTTGGTTTATTTTACCGTGTGACTCTATACATTTGCACTTACAGAGTGTAAATAACCTAATAGATAGATACTCTGAATTAATGTGTAAAAATGTTGCTATGTTGTTACAATGTGAGAGTTTCCCTTCGGGGCAATATAAACGTATTTTACGGTCTCTTCCATCGACTTTAATAGCTGGATAGTGACGTACACGTCTGTACTTTGTTAAGCAGTTAGCAATGATGATAGATGCTAATGATGTGGCTATATTGACTAAAATAGTCATTTTATTCTCCTAATCTTTCTAGAACTATGAAAGGAAACGCAGAGGCGCCTCTAAATTTAGAAGGAATTATGCAATTTTAGGTGGAGCTGTAAACTTGAAGGTTGTGTAGTGGCTCTAGGTTGACGACTGTTAAACCACTTAATGCTTCAACTCTTTTAGATTGGATAATGCTAATAGCCATCTCTGCATATTGGACTAGGTCTCTGTGTTTACTCAAAAGCAGTGAGGTTAAAAGGTTTTAATATAATTTATACTATACAAGATGACTCAAGAGTCTACTAAACCTACTATAGAAGTCCCCGACACAATAAATGTCTCCAAACAATTAAACAACATCAATATACATATATGCGTTCGATGAAAGTGGGCAGCATCAGGCCCGAACCTGAAATGAGTTTGACACCCCTGTTGCAAGCTTTCTGATTTGCAGCTGCATTGCAAAGGCTGATCCTCGTCTGCTCTGCACACATCAGCCAGCAGCTCCACAGAAATACCATCTGCATTCTATGGCACTGCGAGGTGCCACTGTGCACTGTTTTATTTTAAACTACAGTATGTGGGTATTACCATGGAAACGACAGAAAGATGTCCAAATTACTCTCAAAGAGCCACGATACAGAGAAGTAAGATATATTCAGTATGTTGTGGTTCAAGCCTCTCAACAACTAAGTCTTTGTTTTGTTGGTCCACGTGAGAGGCATTACCGACGTACGAGAACATTGCCACTGGTGTTTTTCTTTGGGTACAATACAACTTCCCAATGAACTTTAAAACAACTGATGCTGATAAGCACGTGAGAGGTTATAATAGGCTACTGTCTGTTAATAGTAGGCCTTTTGTATGCCATGCAATGTGTCTTGTTACCTCTGATCTGCTTTGTTTTTACAGTACACTGCACTCTAGGGCAAATTATCGCACAACCCCCCAAAAGCTCAAATCCCTGTATGTGATCTCCTGTGAACGATACAGTTAAAGTTCTTTTTCATACACAACAAGAAATTATAACACTGATAATGATTCAAAGAATTTGAGTGAGTGAAGCTGGAGTTGGATTCAAAGAATCATTATACTAATAACATTCTAATTCTGATGTACTATAATCAATGGAGATAAAATAAGATGAATATTAAAATCAACAAGGACGAAAGTATTCCTCTCAGATTTCACAAAATGCTGAAAACGTTGAAAAAGTGCTAGTGAGATAATTTAAAAAACAACTAATGGTGACAATTAAACGATATGCAAGGTCCTTCTTTAAAATGATGTTTAATCTAACCGTAAAGGGGAGGGGACCTTACGACGGTTAGATTCTTTCAGCCAATAGCGTGCAGACACTGGAATCTTAAACAGTGGAGACGTTATGCTGCATTCAGGTGCAGTTGTAAAGAACATGATATGTATCTCGCGCCCGACCTAAGTAGTCCAATTCTGTGTTTTTCAGTGTGGCTGTGTAAAATAATAATTCTTAACCTGCAGTAGTGATGGACTGTTTCGGTCAAAAACTGCGAAATAATTTATAAATATTCATTTAAAAAACACTCTTGGCTGAATACACACATAAAATCCCATTTGAAACTGGCAGGACATGAGCCAAAGGTAGTTAGGACACAAAGTAGAATGCATCTTTTTTCCCTCGGGAAAATTCAAGTCAATTTAAGAAAATAAGAAATATATAAGATAATGTAAAACATGTAAATGTACACCACAATCCACATAACTGTTGGTCTTAATCGTTTTCATTTGTACGTGCCAATGTCGCTCTATTTCTTCGAGCCTGACAATGAAAGCTATGAATTCCTGTTTCCGAGTTGGTCCCTGAACGCGTAGCTATGGGCGGGTCTTCATGGTGTCGCTTCGGTCGCTTCTTCCTCCGCCTGTTCTTCAACTCTGCAGCTGCTTCGCGGTCAGAAGACGCTCGGTGGGGGGGACACGGAGGTCTCTTAATATTTAAAAGCGCACTCTGGTAAAGGTAAGCAGACGTCCATGTTCACTTATTTCATCTCGCCCGCCCCGAAACGCGCTTTGAGTGAGTGACGCTGTAGTTGGAGGTGAAAAAGGAATAGTGACTAAGGTTGTGAAAGACGCGTCAATTAGGCGAGAAACTACCAGCAGCTGCTCGGCGAGTTGAAACCTGTTACTTCTTTAAGAAGCCCCCCACCTCGCGAAATCGCTTACGTGTCTCGACGGCTAGTTACTGTAAACCCAAATAAAAAGTACAGTCATTTGGGACACACCTGCTTTTTATGTTATCTCCAATCGGAGATCTGGATCATAACGCACAACGCCCCGTATCTACTCGGGCTGTGTCTTGATTACGTCATTTAATGACATCGGTATCAGCTGTGGAAGAAGGCAGAGCTCAACTCGACTTGCTGTCGCGACGGAACGTATCGCCTCTGGGAACCCGTTTGGCCACTAAATGAAAGTTCGTGGTATCGGAGTCTCTCCCCTCCCTCCCCTTCCCTGCCCCCGCACAGGAATTATTATAAAGCAAGACAAAAAAAAACAATAATACTCGTACGCGACCGAGTGATTGTGCTGTTTTTTGTGTCCTCCAAAAAGTGTCTCGTTCTTTGCCATTTCTAACCAGCGTTAAAACATCGGTCCGTCCCGAGGACATTCCTGCTCGCAGTCACCACACCCTTGTTGTGCTGCTCGCCTCGCTGACCCTCGCGTCTCACACGGGCTGGTTCCCTCACGATAAAGAGGCTTTCCCCGGTGCTGCCGTTCACTGACTACTCACCTTTTCTGTGTGTTCTTATTGCGTCACGCAGTAGGTTAAGCGAAAGACACACAAAGAGGACAATGAGAGAAGGGTGCTTAAGAATAATCTTCCTGGCATTAAATGTGTGCATGCCTTTATGTCATATGTTTGTACGGCTACTATAGTATGATGTCATTGTAGCTGAACAGCTGACCAGGCTGTTTGCAGGTAGTGGTTCGACGTGGAAGTGTTGCACGCACGCACACACACACACACAAATCAGTGCCAATGCAGTGGAAGGACACGTGGAAATCCCTAATTGTGACGACATTGACGAAAATGTAAGCAGAAGTCCTTGTGTCTGCGGCTGTCCCCAGCAGCATTACTGTGGTTTTGACCTGATGCTCATGTGTGACTAATCCAGAGCGCCTCTGTGTGAAGTGGACCGTGTTTAGATTGTAAAAGTAAAGCATGAGTGTTATAATTTGCAAATAGAGACCGATATAGATGGTGAATTGGTAATTGTCCTATTCAGAAAAGATGCACCCGTTCACAGAGGCGAATCCTTGCAAAATTGGAGAAATGACAGTTGGATATCTGTTATCGAAACATGCATGACGTGTTTATCAAGGTTCTTTGCTGCAAATGCATTAACCAGATCGCCCAAACATTTTGGTATAGCGTCCATTTTTGTTTGGTTAAAAAAACCAAAAAGGTTGACTCATACCAATAACCCTAATACCCCAAACTTATTACATCAATAAATACTTCATAAATGTGTCTTCACAGAGAACAATTCTGGAACAAAAGCTCAACGTGAGCATCTCCACAGGCCACTGCACCTAATTTTTGTCCCCTCCACCCAATACTCCGCTCCTACTTGCCTGCCTTCGGCGTTAACAATGGCGAACGCAGGAAGTTCTCCCATGCGAGGTGGTGCTCAGAGAGAAGGGGGCTGCCCAGGGGGTCGTTATTCCACCATTCCAGTTCCTGCCGGTTTGTGTATTTTAAGGCTGTGGTGCTTATCTGTCGAGCTGCTCAAACACAATGTTCCACCCGGTCTTGTGTTGGATTTGTCGGGACGACTTTCCATCGGCAGTATTTTCTGAGGAGACTAGTATCACACTGCACGTCAATTTCAGGGCAGTTTCTCACCACACAGGGAAAATGCTGAGTTTAAGCTTATCTGTGTCTGTTTTCCAGTCATCTGACTGTTTTGAGTAACATCAGCAGCAGAGCTCTGGGGGAGGCCAACTGGTCTAATTCATCCCTCCACACCTTTTCATTGACCAAGAGTAGTGAAAATCATATTGGCGGCAGGCCTTGTTTTTTAATATTAAACTGTTATTGTGACAAACATCCCGATCAGGTTTTGGTGTTTATTCTCTTCAACTACAGCGGAAAGAAAAGATTTGTCTGTTCTCCGGTGAGTCTGCGCTCTGCAGCTGGTGTCTGTGTGGAACCAAAGACTGTCTGTTAAACAACGCGTCACTGCTGGCCGTGGGTGGACTGAGTGTTGTTGACTAGAGATCAACAGAGCGCTCCACCAAAACAACGCATGCTGTCAATAATTTGACAGTAATCTGGTGGACCCAGTAGTTCTGTGATGGGAGCATCGGTACTTGTGAAAAGTAGGCTCGAGCTACAGTGTCTGAATGTTGTTGGTGCAAGCTGTGAACACTTAACACTGTTGTGTTTCAGCCTTCACAGCCAAGCAAAGGTGATCAAACTCCTCTGGGGTGCTTCTGTTTTAACATGGGTTGAACGGTTGACCTCCATAAGACGAGGCAAACTGTCGTGGTGTCGGGTGGGTGCGGCTCCATCCACCCTGCGTCTGTGTGTGGCTCTCATTTTCTGTGCATGTGAGAGTCGACTGGGAGGAATGCAGCACCCTAAGGATACGGAACATTAGCTCGCTGATGGTGACATCACACTGCAACACAGGAAGATGGGGAGGGAGGGGGAACAGGAGAGTGGAGGGGGATGAGTAGGAGGGAGGAACAGGAAGACGGAGAGAGTTGGAAGCCGGGCTACGAACACGGAAACGGCCCTGATTCACTCTGACTGATTCCCCCATTTATTTACTTTACGAGTGGAATAAAACAAAGACGCTGGCGTGTCTTGCCGTTCTCCATATCTGTTGCTAGGTTACAATATGCTAATGTTTCCGACCACCACACCTCCTGTCCTCCATCTTTCTGACTTTTCTGCCTGGCTGTTGGCAAGCAAGACTGAGAGGCGGATAAAAGGATAATTCTGTGTTCCATTTCTCTCCTCGCTCCTCCGCTCTGTGGTGAATTGGGTCGGGTTAGTCTCGATGGCTCTGTCCTATTTTGGGCTCCAGCCCGGTTCTGCCTGCTTCCCCCGACCTGGATCCCGAGCAGCCACTTCTGGTCTGATTCAACCTTCAGAATTGGAGCTCTGTTTCAGTGTATCTTCAAGGTTTTCTCTAATCCAACTGCAGACAAAGCTGTGGGTGTAAAGGGGGGAGGGGAGGACAACTTTGTTTGGAGGTACACAACAACAAAAAGCATTACTTCGTTTCTATGCATTTTGTGGCAAAAGAGGTGCTGTAGTCTGATAAATTGCCCCCGTTTGATCACTGGATCAGATGATACATCCATTCTGAAAAGTTTGGGCGCCGACAGCTTCTCCGTCCCTGGCATGTTCACAACATGCAACAATAACATACGGTTTGTTATAGTGTTAAAAGTTGGAGTTTGGCGCCGTGTCTTCATGTACAGGAGTGGTATCAGCGGACGGGGGAGGATGTTGTGTGTTTAGAAGAAAGGGGTGAGTGGTGTTGAAAGGGGGTGAGACATTCCTCAAAGCTTATGTCCTCCCACCTTTCTACACATTGAGACAGAGTTTGATTGTGAGCTCTGTGATCCGTTATGAATCCTCATAACGGGAATGCTTTCTCCTGGTGTCGGTCGGCCAATACCTGAACTGTTCACACGGCGTTTATATTTGTCTGTTAACTCAAACTCTAGGTTTGAACATGGTTTTTTTGTAACGTTGACTGGGGGGATCCTGGCACATTCCAAGGAGACTGAAAGCTTCCTGTAATTCTACTAGGGGTGGGAATCTCTTGGCACCTCACGATTCGATTCCGATTCAGAGGTCAACGATTCGATTCTAAACCGGTTATTGATTCTAAACTAATAAAACGATTATCGATGCATCTCGATTTTCTAAATTTTCTCAAATCTGAGTTTGCTACTCAGAGGTTGCTAATCACTTCCTACTTTATTTGATAATTAAAGAAAATCAACAGAAATTACCTTCTCTAATTTTTTATAAGAGAAAATCTTTGTCACAAATATGATTTTTTTATCAACAATGCAACATATCTTGCCAACTTTCAATACAGATCGACTTTTTGGGAAATCGAAATAATCAGGTAAGATATGCGCAGGCTCCTTCATAGTTCGGTAAAGTTATTGGATATTCACAGATTCAGACTGACTGGTCTGCGAGCTGGACGCATTGCTCTTAATGTGCCGGTAATGATGGTTGTAGCTGGTTGTCATCTACGGTCCACTACGATTACAGAAGGGGGGCGTTTGTTTTTTGACAACGTTTTATCTCATCATTTTTATCCCCTTACATTAGTGCGGAAATGGGCTTCTATAGTTGTGTGAATGCATGACTCCAGCCAATCCAAAGACGGGGTTTGTAACCGATCAGGTGTAGACCATGGTGACTGGCTCCGCCCCCTCACTGTCAAAAAGAAAAACAGCGAGCAGGGAGAAAACACCTTTGAGCGCGAGCAGAGACTAACCTCGCGAGCGAGCAAATATCTCGCGCAAGATGGACTTTTTTTTTCTTTTTTAAATTCCGATTAACTTTTCTGAATCGAGACCGAATCTTTCTAGAGAATCGAGAAATCGAAGAATCAAGTTTTTTTTTTTTTCCCTCCACCACTAAATTCTACAAATATATATTCTATAGGTCCGATATGGTGCATCTATTACGTTTCTGTGGCCAAAGCCTCCGTCAGTACAGAACAGAAGCCGCCACTTAAGTTCATTTCATTTGTCCTTCTGTCAAACTGGATCAGAAGGTGAAGCGACACCTTCAGGTCTCCACTTGGCCAAATGAGGGCCTGTTTGACTTCTATTCCTCGTGTCCTCTCGACGTCCATCACGAGACGTGAAATACGATCCAGTGAGCGTCGCTAACTGGCCCCGAGTTTCAAGGCTTCTCAGAGGCCGAAATGCAGCACAAGCTTATTCTGCTCTCTGACAGGATTTTACATATTCATCACGAGGTGCAAAGTAGAAATATGCCGGTGTATAGTAATCCACCAGGAATTTGCGCCTGCATGTGTTTAATTGGTCACACAGAGCAGCCCTGTCAGACTGCATCAGGTTGTGCTGCAGCAAAGGTTCAGCCGGATTCTACTTTTCCTGTAGGTCGAGCCTGCTGTTTTACAGAAATGGCCTCGCTGAAACGCACCAGAGGCTGTACTTGTTTTCCACACAGAGCTTGTTTTTGTCCTGAATGTGGCTGTGTACGGGTGAGGGGCGTCGTGTGATGACACGATGTTTCATTCAGGTCAAACGTGCATTCACCACCATGTTTTGTATGGTGTCCTGATGCAGGGGATCCCCGTGAAGGGAGGAGTGTCTCTCGTCGTATGTGGCACATAGTTGCCACATACGACAGCTTCAAGCGCGAGGATAAAATGCTGACGCGCAGATGTCAACAATTGGCAGAATTTGTAAGGAGTGGCTCACATGCAACATTCCACCGAAACCGAGGTATCATTGTACACCAAGCAGCTCTGATTGTGTTGGTTTCTGGTCCAAGTACCTGCCCCCATTTCTATCGAGCAAGATGGGCTAATATGTTAGGTATGGCATTGGAGCCCCCCCACCTTCCCGCTAGAAATAAGCGTCTGTTCCGCATGTGTGAGGAACGAGAACTTTGTCCTTTGCCACCACGCACAGGGACGAGCATTACGCAAGGCAGAAGAACTTCTAAAGCCAACGCGACCTTTCTCTGTGACGCCGGGGCGTGTTCGGGCAGGTAGTGTGTGTTTGTTTGTGTATTATGGCTCATGCTCGCACCCTGTGGGAATAATGCACCTGTATTATCACGAGGTGGGCCCGCTGTACTCCACTCACTGCCAGTTGTACATGTGATTTCAACACAACACAGATCTTTGTTTTGATTATTAAGTATATTTGAACGTTTTTGTTTTTTCCTCCTAAAACATCTTTTCCTTGAGCTCTGAAGTCTACTTAAGGCCACCCTTAATTATTGATTGTTGAGTACATGAGCAACTCCATCATAAAGTTCTTTGTTAGGACTTACTTTGTTCTAATGAGTATTTATTGCTGTAATATAATTTAAACATCCAGGGAACATGTTTAGATTGAATGAAACATCAGTTAGTTTTGACTTGCTATACATTATATTAACTGTCATATGGGTGTCTTGTCTCCATAAGACCTCATTGTGCTAATAAAGCTCATTTGAACTGAGGGGAGGAGTTTGACCAGAAAGAATGAGGGAAAAAGACCTAATGGTTGATTTCTTTGTCTTTCTTTTGGCTCATATTCTCTCCTCCCTCTACTGTTCGTCATCCCAGGAAATCACTTAAAGAAAGAAAGGAAGTAAGGAGGGAAAGTGAGGACACAAATGTTGTGGGAAAAATCCACAAAGCACATAATGCGCCTGCAGGTGTTTTCTGACAAACGGAAGGAATGTTCTTTCAAAACTGAGCTTCTAGCAGCAAGAGCATGAAGACGGATAGTTTATGAGTTACTAATACAGCACCACCATAACACTGAATAAGAAATAATGTCACTGGTTGCCAACTTAACAGCTGACTCTTCACTGCTATGCTGCAATGCAGAGGTTGACAAATATGTTATTGAATTTACATGATTCATTAAATTGACAATATCTGCTTTTTTCTACCATATATTTCCATTAGCATCCCCACTTAGTGAATTTTTCAATACTTTACGTGTTCTTAACGTTGGTTTGGTTATTTATGTTGTAGAAAAATAGTCCAGGTAATTTTCTAAGTCGCCTGAACATCTGCGCTCATTTATTCTTTGGAGTGTCTGCTCCCGTTATGTGCTGCCACGGTTTGCACACACACACTAGTGCAAAGGTACGGGGCCGTTACCCTCACTGAGCACCCTGCGTGGCCCCTGAACCGCCGGCAGCACGCTGGGAGAGCCACCGTCCGCAATAAGGTGTGTGCGTGTGTCCTCCTTTAGGTAGTGACAGTATGATGAATGGAGAAACCGCGGTCTGCTATCACTTGGAACAGGCGGCTCTCTCCAGAGACAAACTGGCCTGATTTAATGTGCGGGAGGGAAAGAGTTCCTGAAATCTCTTGATTCTTGTGGTAGTGGAGATGAAGCTAAATAAAATCAGTGGTGATGCGCATTACACATTTGGGTCCCTCTATGTAGAGGAGCCGTCCTGTTCCCATTAATACACATAAAAACGGAGGTTTATTAAATTATTTGGTATCAAGCGGACCTTTCCTGCCCACCCACTGACAACCTTTTGAGGAAACAACTGTTGATACACTGAACTGTTTACCTTCCCCACCGCAGGGTTGCAGTTTGACATTACATTGGGGATCTGATGATGTAGACGTTTTGCTTTCCTGGGTTATGTCTTGTTTTCTTGAAGCCGCAAAAGATCATTTGTTGGCCACATGTGTTCACAAGCAGTAAAGACCACACTGAATTAGCAGCTGTTAAGTTTATACGGCAAAGTTCTGCGCAAGGAGTTGCTTATTTACACACCCAGTAAATACTTAACATTCATTATGAGTCGTTTACAGCTAAATTATCTCCTTTTTTTAGGCCCGTCTCCCCTGGCTGGCTCTCTACCTGCCAAATGCTCCACTTTGTCCTCCAGCTAAGCTAAAAACAGGGTCTTAAAAACACTAACCTGAAAAATGCTAAAAAGCTGAGGAGTCCACATAAAAGTGTGTGTGTGTGTGTGTGGTGTGTGTACGTACGTAGTTTACTCACAACAAATGGCTTTGTCCAGACTGACTCTAGTCCATTAGAGGAAGCAGCTTGTTTTCCTCCTATTTCCAGTTGGATTGTTTCACCTCCCTCCTGTCTTTGAAGACCTTTGCTTCTCCCCAGTTTACTGTCTGTTTTATTATCATGATAAATGCCGCCCACGCTGTGTTCTGTTTGTAGATGGCAGCCATCAGGAAGAAGTTGGTGATCGTTGGGGACGGTGCGTGCGGGAAGACCTGTCTGCTCATCGTCTTCAGCAAGGACCAGTTCCCGGAGGTCTACGTGCCCACCGTGTTCGAGAACTACATCGCCGACATCGAAGTTGATGGCAAACAGGTACTTAATATTTAAAGTTTACATATTCATTTATTTTGGGTAGATGAGTATGAATATTAAACGGTGGTTAAATACATTTATTAGTGTAATTAGACTTGTTGCTTAACCCCAACCCCAAAAAACCCCAACATGCTTATTTAATATAACTTAGTGAAAACTACGAACTGTAGTTTTGATTACTTGTCAGATGTCAGAGATGAAATAAATACCAACTCAAACTCACACAAATGGGATTCAGCAGTTTGAGGCCAAAAAAGGTCAAAAGAAGCAAAGATCATTTTATGAGGTGAAATACAGATTGATCTTCTGTCCAAAAAAATGGAGTATTTAACTTGTATTGGAGCACTTTTACACGAGTAAAGGATGAGTACTTCTTCCACCGTTGATGATCCAAGCCATTCCTCAGAACAGGCAGGTTTATGTGTCAGTAAAACTGCTGGCGCAGCGATAAAGATGTGGCCATGCTGCCTAAGAAGCATGTGCTGTGAAGGCCGATTGGGATACGTGCTTATTGTAAGCAAATCATTGGGTCTTTGTTATAAAACCGCAAACCTCCTGCAACAACAGGAAATGGATCAGTGGCACCTTCCTGCCCAGAGCTGAGACCAGTCTCTTCATGACTAATCTCCCATTTCCTGTTGTTATTTGCTCTTACAAAGCTGACTGTAGTCAGATTTATAATAATGTTTTAAGTGGAATGAAATAGTTTTCTCAGTCTTTCGTGTCAAAGTTCAACGCACTGACCTCTACTTTTTCATTCTTTGACTAAGTTTATTGTGGTTAGAAAAACTAAAATGAGTGCTCAACGAGAAGTTCACACAGGAAGCCTCCTGGTAAAATACATGGATGAGTCAGACCCCTGGGAGACATCTAGTGGTAAAATAATTCCAGAGCAGCAGTAAACCGTGTTGGAGGCCAGATTGGTGCGGCCACTCAAGATTCGGCAGAACGTGAATGCAGAAGTGAAACGTCCAGAGCCCCTGATACCGCGCTGTAGTTGCCCCCTTGTTTTTCTCCCAGTCCTCTGGTTCATGCCGTGAACCGTGTCGTCTGCTGTGTAGAACACATTCTTACGTGGGGGCTTTGGGTGCCTTGGAGCATGTGCTACAGACCTTGATGATCAAGTGTTTTTTGCTGGCAATTTGTCTTATCTAGAGCAGGTTTGATTAACAGCCTAAGATTGTCCTGGGGGAACAATCTCAACCTTGGGAGAATTGCTTTTTAGGAACGAAATGCATTAATGGTTTTAATTGCTATTTTCCCTTCATCTTTCCATTTTATTCTGCCTCTATTTCCGTTCGCCATATTCTCCTCGCTCATAATCTGTTCCACCACACTCACCCTGCTGAAGCCGTAGTGGTGCCTAAACTGGGCTCTCTGCTAGAAGCCTCACTTTGTTTCTTCTCGTTCTCTCCTCTTCCGCAGGTGGAGTTGGCGTTGTGGGACACAGCAGGTCAGGAGGACTATGACCGACTGAGGCCTCTCTCTTACCCCGACACGGACGTCATCCTCATGTGCTTCTCCATAGACAGCCCGGACAGTTTAGGTGAGGCTGCACACAAATCGTTTACACACTTAGAAATATGAGTGTTGTCTCCGATTCAAGTAATGATAAAACTCTCATCGCTGTTTGCTTTTAGTGACCCAAGAGATTGACCTGATTTAAAATAATGTCATAATTTTATCTTTGTTAAGCTACCTCAGTGAGTCGAGGCCGCTGGTTACTTTTTTCAGTCATTAACACAGAATTTGATTAGCTTTTAAACAGGACAGAATCTAGAGAAAGTGAATGTATGTTAGTGCAGTAAAATCCAGTGGTTACAGCTGAGAACGCTGTCACACCATCCACCCCCGCATTTTAATTCGTTTCCACATTAAAAGATGAGCAAGCACATTTTGTCCCACCGTGTTATTGTTGTTCTGGACGCCTCATCCCATCACAGTAGGGCATCTCCTTCTAGACAACGGCGACTTCTAGCTGGCATGCTCGAGCTGGTATCAGCGCAGTCAGGGACCCGTGATGGTTATATTTGTAACAAGTGCAAGAGGCCGACTGTCCTTGTATGGAAATGAGTTGGGAGTTTGTTTTTAAATGTATTTGGTCCTTGCAGAGAACATTCCCGAGAAATGGACGCCTGAAGTGAAGCACTTTTGTCCCAACGTCCCAATCATTCTGGTGGGGAACAAGAAGGACCTGAGGAACGACGAGCACACGCGCAGGGAGCTGGCCAAGATGAAACAGGTGTGTTTTTGACAGTGGAACAAAGGGGTATCGCTGACGCGAAAGTACACAAGTATTATGAGTACATTTTCTTTAAAAAGTAAAAACATTGTGCAGTATAATATTTTGACTGTAGTGGCTGTAAAGTACACTATTTACCTCTGATGTAGTTGATAAGTATAAAGTTGCATGAGGGAAATACTCAAAGTAGTTGTACTTAGCCTTTGTAATCGGGTACAGCACTTATGTACTTAATGCATTCTAGTACTCTGCAAAATCACTCCTTGTTAAATGAGCAGAGTCAGCGTGATTTTTAACCAGCCGTCTTTACGTGAAACCTCCAGGAGCCCGTTAAGTCCGAGGAGGGCAGAGACATGGCCAACCGCATCAGTGCGTTCGGTTACCTGGAGTGTTCCGCCAAGACCAAGGACGGCGTGCGGGAGGTGTTTGAAATGGCCACCAGAGCGGCACTGCAGGTCCGCAAGCGCAAGAAGAGGGGCGGCTGCCAGCTTCTGTGACGAGTCTGTCGGCCAATCAGCACCCGAGGAAGGCTGCCCCCTCGCGCACAGGGCAAACCCAGAGAAATCTTAGACCAATGGCCTCTGTGGACTATACTTACTTCACAGATGCAGATATGCCACCGGGGAATATGAAAGACTGACACAGCTGTTGTAAAGCAACACAAAATCAACCTCTTGTTTTGTTTTTTACTATTTTCTCTGCTACTCACACACCTTTCAGTTTGTTTTGTTCTTTTCCTCCACCAGCACACCAGTCTATTAGTGTGAAGGACCTGTCCTGCCCTTATATGAATGTATGTTTGTTTTTATATGTGCATATACTTTACAAACCTATCACATCTGTATGTTTACAGAGAAGAGAAAAGATCAAATGCTCCCTCAAGTTTGAAAATTTGTTTAAATATTAGGGAACCCCTGCTTCTCTTCAAAATGTACGTACCACTGTCTGCTTATACATCAGCTTAGGTCACGATCAACCTGTACGACGCACCACTATTCATTTTACTCGCGTTATGTGTGGCGTCATCAGAACTCCATTTTCCTCGTCTTTCTCTTGTTGCAGTAACGACTAAATTTCGAGCCTGTTGACTCTGCATGCATCCGCTGAACGCTACCTAAACAGACGCAGCCGTGAGTGTTTGTGTGGAGAGGTTTTGGACTTCACCGGGCTTTGTCTTTTCTTCCACGGCACTGGACGCACAGACACGATACTCGGACACGATACTCAGCCGCGCTCACGCCGGCTCCGAGTCAGACAGACTTCCCTCTCCGGCGACATCGACGCCTTCCCCAGACGAGCCCTCTGGTCTGAGCTCTGCGCCGTTACACGAGATCCAGTAAGCCGTCATTGCGCGTCGCTGTGCGCCGGATCTACAGGTGTCTGGTGTCTGCACGCAATGGACGAACATTGTATCATTCACAATTCAGACAGGTTATAGGTATGTTGCGTATAAGAGTTTCAATAAAATTTCCAGCTCAAATGTTGTCTTTAGCAATGTGAAAGTATTTGGCTTTGCTGTGTAATAGACCTTTTATTTGACATAACTTGAACTGTGATTGAAATAACGCGCGTGTCCGGTCTGAAACTGTCTCGAGTAGTCGTCATTGACCAAGGGCCAGCTGATAAATAGAATATCAGAAGACAACGGGGCTCAGAGCAGCTCCGCTTCATCAAAGTGCCGTTCACACCACAAAAATGTAGTTGAAAATTCTGACAACTAAGTAAAGCGCTTCATGCAGTGCGTCTTGCATAGTCATGAAGGAATGCTATTCTATACCAATGCCATAAGCTCCCCTTGTGATCTGTTCATCCGGTACGTTCAGATGCACGTAGATAAGAACGGGCTGATCTGTTATACTAAACCTACTTCGAGAATTGTTGCTTGTGATGACGCTTTACAAACAGGAGTGGGATGTGTTGAATGTCTGGATGAGACCAACATGCTATTAAAGTATTTTTAAAATGCTGCAAAAAGTTTGCAAATAAGGTTCAAGTCTTTTGTGACCATTTCATATTGCAGCATTGTCCAGCTTCACTGTGACAAGGTTTTGTTTTGAAATCGCTTTCATTTTGCATAAAATTAAAAACCGTACAATATGGTCATAAAAATTTTAATAGTCATTCATTCAAGGGTGGTTGAGTTCACACATGGACATTCATGCCACATAATTCTGAAAAGTAATTATAGAGCAGAATCACCAAAAAAAAAAAACCCTGAGAATGACATTTCGGTCAAGATAAATTTAAAGTACATCAAAAAAGTAAGAATCCAGTCAAAATTTCCCGTGACTAAGCAGGTAAAGAGGAGCATTTGCAGCTGTTTTGACATCAAGGGCCGTTGGTGCCGTCCAATGAGGTAGCTGAAGACAAACCGCTCTAAAAATCGGCTGCCTCTCGTACTCTTTGGTCAAGTTCATATAATTAAACATTAAGATTAAAAACATTAAAACGATGATTGTAATATTTTCTTTGTTGGGAAAGTGCCATTCAGCATTATTCTGAAGAATTTCTGTAAACATCTTCAATGGAAAAGGGCAGAGGGTTCTCAATTCCCTCACAGGTCGCTCCTCCACTCGGGGTCCAGATGCTGCTGAACAGCGCTCTCTGCCGTCTCCACTGGCAACAAGATTCACAGAGCGAAAGCAAGGTCAACAGATCTCCCATTTATTCAGGGGTGATACTGATGAAAACAAACGTATGTGTGTGTGTTACCTTGAATCTCGATGTTGCTGAAGAGGACGGCGAGTCTCTCCACCACGTCCTTATCCTCCTCCACCTGCTCATAACCGTCGTAGCCTCCTTCATCTCGACAGTACTGGATGAATCTGCACGGGGGGAGAGCACGACGTATTGAAGTTGGGACTTTCAAACTCCAGCAGAAATTAGAAGCAATCCTGTGGCACATACCGGGCCCAGGTATCGTCTGCCTTCAGCACTCTGGGGTTTCCCACCACAATTAGCAGGGCTTTGGCTCGAGTCACAGCCACGTTGAATCTCTGGTAGAGAAGAAAGCGTCAGAATAACGTTCTGTCCGTACACACACGGTGCGTTTGCTCTGCGTACCTTCTCGTTCTTGACAAAGCCCAGGTGGAACTTTTTGTCTATCTCCAAGTAATTGGGGCTGCTCCGAACTGTAGACACCAAGATCACTCTCCTCTCCTGACCTTGGAACTCCTCCACCGAACCAACCTGACACACACACACACACACACACGCACACACACTCGTGTACTCAGACACTTCCTCTGCTGTGATTGTTTCCCACATTGCTTAAGTGTGAAATTTGAAATGAGTTACCTTTAGTTTGCTCATGTCCTTAAATTTGAAGTCTTTCTCTACTTTAGTCAGGGCCTTGCGGATTTTCTGCACCTAAGAGGGGGGGGAATAAAACACCAGCTCCAGCTTGTAATCAACATATAATCACGTTGTCGCATTTTATCCTGTGTTCACCTGCATGTGGACCAAGGTGATCTGCAACACGAATACCGCTTTGTCGAATTACTTCCCACCTGCTTCCTGTAGGGAGCGATGATGCCTATGTCTCTGGGGGAGATGGTGGCCACTCCCTTCTTGCCATCTGTCTGCAGCAGTTTCCTGACGTAGTCCATGAGCACCTCCGCCTCCGCGATGTTAAAGAACGAAGGACTGCTCTTCTCCTGGTCGTCAATGCCGGTCACGCCGTGGAAGATCACCGGGAAGCCCTGCGATGTGTGTGTGACGTGTAAGTTACATTTCATTATATGAACAACAAAATGAAAAAAGTGGTACTGAGCAGAGAAATCTGTTGACCGGCTGCACAATCGCTGATGGAATGGAAATCGATTGGAAATCTGAAGACAGTATTTTATTTGTATTAAATATTCTTTAAAATCATTAAATTATAATGAGATGAGGAATTGATTTTCCACCAATGATGATCCCCCATCAAAAGGTAAAAAACAACACAGCATTGTTTTGAACAGTTATTAAATATTAGTGTTTTGTCTGCTCATAACTTAATTGTTAATTTGAATAGTTTAGTCTTATGAATATACTATCAAAATCATATTTTTTTAGAACCCTATTTCTCACCTTAAAACTGCTTGTTTTTTTCCAACTGTCAGTTAAATTAGTTTTAAACTTACAATGACAGTACGATATTAGTGTGCCACAATAAAAGAAGAATTCCGACCTGCTTCTTGAGGTGTTCCCAGTGACAGTAGGAGCTGCGCAACATTTCATCAGCACAATACTGCAGCTCGTTATCATAGAAGAGCTCGTTGGGGATCTTCAGAATGGCCGGATGGGACCTGATCAGGAGAAACAAAATCAAAATCCAGCACTTTCTGTATGAGCGCCTTTAACGGACCGCTGGACCGAACCTGTAGTTGCGCAGCAGTTTGGTGACGAATCGATTGTCGACCGCGCCGTCCACCTTCCGGTACAGAGAGAAATCAGTCATCAGGCGCTCCAGCAGGGAGACCCCTGCACATGGAACAGTGTTTGGGTCAACATTACTGAATGTAAATATGCGTGTTAGTGGACAGAAACGGTGCTGCAGAAGTATCCTAATTCATTCAAGCTGCAGTTTTATTAATGAGGCGGTGTGTGTGCAGGTGTGTGTGTGTGTGCTTACCCATGCCGTATTTCAGTGCAAAGGGCGATCTGAGAATGGGTCCGAGCTGCTTGGGGTCTCCAGCCAGAACAACCTGACCCGACTCTGCATCCAGCAGCCCTTTGTGCAAAAAAAACAATGTTGGAAATTATGCTGCAACATAATTGGTCACAAACGGTGAACAAAGGAGGTATTATTCTACTTTTATTATACTGACACTTTTTTAATTGACAGTCATTTTAAGTGACTTAATGCGGTTGGCAAAATTATACATCGGTCCATATAAAATAAATGGGACAAAACTTCTTCAAAACAAAAAATATTTGTTTATACTTGTCCAATATAATTAATTATGTTGAATAAAGATTAACAATTGATATGCTTGCATAAAAGTTTTCAAAGTTAATGAATTTTGTGTTGATTCCAAACCAACAAGTTTAAGAACATTTAACAATGGTCAATGTTTTCAGCTTCTGTAGATGAAGGAGATGATAGATAAAAACAAAAGGAATGTCGCCTTAAAGTAATCACTTTGTTATCAGACAGATTATTGAGTAGCCCTTTGTTGTACGGATAACAAAACCAATCGAAACATTAAGCCAGTGTTTGTACCTGCCAATGGGACCAAACATTCAGTCTCCACAGCGTGTCCTGCCTCGTCCACAAACACGTGGGTGAAATGACCAGCAGGGATGGCTCCTGAGACCAGTCTGCAAGGATCAGAGAACGTATGTGGTAGAAATCTCTCCCCACAGAAGTTAATCTGTGGATTTGACCGTTATTTTGGATGACAGAGACTATAAACAGAATGTAAATATGGTGAAACGCAACCTGTTGTGTCATGCAATGTGAGCAGACTGCACTGTCAGTCATTAACTACCTTCCAGCGGTTAACAGGGTGGTGACCACGACCCTGTACGCCATCAGCATCTCTTTAGCAGGATACAGGTAACACTCCCCTACCAGGTTAGAGCACGCCTGTGAAGGTACCACAATGTCCGTGTACACAAAAGATTACGACAGTAATCAGTCCGGGTAGCAGTATTCTATGCAGCATAGAGTTCACTGGTAATTACATCATCTTTCTGTGACCAATCGAATGACTGAGTGAATGTCAGCTACTTTCTGAATCCAAGAGATGCTTCGCATCAAAAACAACATGCTTGAAATTCTTTTACACTGACTTTTAGTTCCTCAGGGACGACATTTGGGTCGCGGCTGCTGGCGTACATGCGGAACACTTTATGCTCGTCCACGTGATCCAGGATCTTCCTGCAGAGCAGATCGGCAGCGCTGTTGGAGGGGGCGCAGGCCAGGATGTGGCAGGAGACCTGGGTCTTCTCTATCTGCTTGATGGCCTCCACCACAGTCACAGTTTTGCCTGAACAGACAGGACACCCTAAATTTGATAGAACAGTCAAGCTGGAACAAAGACCCGGTGTTACACTGGTACCCGCTGTACCTGTCCCAGGTGGGCCAAACACCAGGTAAGGGGCCGGTTTGGATGAGCCAGCTACAATGTGTTGTACAGCCTGATACTGCTCGGGGTTTTTTTCCAGGTTCCGGTCAAAAAGCCTTTTGAGAGAAAGAGAGATGATCAGAGCAGTGAAATGTGTTGAGTCAGCCATCATGTTTAAACAGCAAATCACATACTCCTATTAGGTAACAGAAGGACCAGCGCTGTTAGAATAACAGGGTTTATCTTGTGACAATGAGAAAACTGTTTAAAATGTCTTTATTAATATTATATTGAATGCAGTACTTTTGCTATAAACTCATTTTTTTCTACGGGGGTCTTAATTTCCCCCTCCATGTTTGAAGTTGTGGCATGATTATTTTGCAGCTTTGTCTCTTACAATATTTATTCATATGCAGAACGTCACCAATGTGCAACATGTATGGTGCCTAACCGGAGTTGTGGAAGCTCGGTGTGCTGGGAGGAGGGAGCGGGAGCAGCAGGGAACAAGACCGTCCCCATTCTGGATTTAGGCGCCAGCTCCGCTGCTCGTTGCTGAACGCGGACAGGCAGGGGGTTGACGGTGAACTCCACGTTGAACTTCATGCCATCTAAAAATAACTCCAACAATCTGCAAACAAATGTACAAAAAACGGTATTTAAATAGCATATCAACAATGTTTGAGTGGATGCTGCAACATAATTGGTCACAAACGGTAAACAAAAGGCCCCTTTTTTAATGAACAAAGTTAATAAAAAAGTAACATTTTTAGTGACTTAATGTAGACAAAACAACGGCAAAGTGCAGGACATACAATGACAGAAAGCCAAATAGTAAGTCGGAGGTAAATTGTAAGGAACGACAGATACAACTAGAAAAACAACAATGCCCAAAAGGGGTCAACCGATTATATGTAACCGAAGTGTCTTGACCTTACTTTGGCCCAAAGCCGAGTTTGACACTGTCCAGCTGCACGCTGTGGACGTAGCCGCGGTACTTCACCCCTCTTTCCCCGACCGGATACACCAGCAGCGAATCCCCTCGTAGAACAGACGGGCGGTTCTCAGACACACCGGGCACCTGAACAAAAACCAGGAAACACACCAGAATGAAGTTTTGTATTTGCACTGTGTTCATTAAAAACATACTTGTTTTATGTATTCCCACTCGACAGACACTACAGATACGATTTAGGTAGCTGGCTAAAGTTAGATTGCTAATCTTAAAAGAAATAATTAAAAGGGAACAGTGAAGCTGTGAACATCATCACCTCCAGAATGAGAAGTTTCTTGTTTTGCGGATCTCTAGTCATGACGACGTCTTCCTTGTCGCTGTTGGGGATGTTGTATCTCTTGATGTCCACCTCCATTTGCTGCTGCTCCAGATACAGCAGCAGCTGAAACTTCTCAGCGTACCTCTCCCAGCACAGGGGACTTTCCAGCAAGGCCCTTCCCAACAGACCAAATGGAAAGAAACCATCAACAACGTTCGCCAACCTCTATCGGGCTTCAGGCCGCTTTCCTGTGAGGCCGAAAAATTCACGGGCTTTTAAATGATAAATATGACATAATAAGATGATACAACTGGCATTAAAAGCAAATATTAAGTCCATAAAGAGATAGTTACATCTAATGAGGAGCGTGTTGCTCATATCCAGTCTAGATTAGGTCTAAATTGTTGTCTCAAACCTATTTTTAAGATTATTGTTTTTTTTAGCTAGCTCGTGTGCTTTGTGGTCTAGCGTCATTATACGTGTCAAGAGGCACAATCTGATGTAATTGGTGGAGAATCCTGTAATAACAGAAGTAAAACATCTTTATACTCTATAACACCAATTTCCCTCTGCAGGGTCTAAATGACCACAAGGTTTCATAAAGTTGTAGTAACTGCAAGTGGATATTGTATTGCAAGATTGAATATTTTAGTGGATGACAAAAGAAAAACAATTATCAATTAAAATTTCACTGATGAAATACGATCAACATTATTGCAACTGGCCTGAAACAGCAATAATCAATAATTCCTCATTATATTGATAGAAAACAAACTGGCCTGTTTTCTTTTTCTTAAAAAAGGTATTTGCTGTTGATAGTTTGCTATATGTGAACTTATTTGGGCTACACTTGTAAAAACGCATCAGACTAACACATCACTACATCAGCGTTTCTACTGAGTTTACCTTTTATCGGAGTACGTAGAATGCTTCAGTGCCTGGATGAGCGCGTTCACGTATGGTGGCATCGGATACCGTTTTAGCTCGATCACATACACCAGCTGCATCACTGACAGCCTGCTCGGAGGAGACAGAGGTTGGACACATCACAAGGAGACTCGCTGAGTGTTTATCGGTGTCAGCGCTCATACCCTTCAGGTCGCTGTCCATCCACAATGGAGCAATCAGCCTCGGGGGTCCATGCGGGCAGGGAGCGGGGTCTGTAGGGGGCTTCAGGGGCCAGCTCCCGCCCCAAGGCCGTTATACACTGAGCCTCGATGTAGCGCAAGATGTGGAACGCAGCGGCGGAGGTCTGCAGGTCGGGTTTGAATTCGAATGCCAGTGTCGCTGGATAGAAGCCAACAGACCTGCAGCAGAGTTTGACCTGGACTTCGTATGAGTCACCTGAAATAAATACACAAGTGTTAATAATGTTTAGTGCCCTCATAACGCTTTATCGCGTTGTGGTGGAAGATTTGCACAGACAATCGTTAAGTAAGAAACAAAGGCTCTGAGTCAAGTATGTCCTTTCTCCGTTTATTTCCTTGCAAGGGAAAAAGGGTCACAACAGCTACGTGGTCAGTAGACTGTCAAGAACCTCCTTCTGCCCCCAACACATCGAGGCAGTTTTTATACCTAAGTTTAGATATCGGTGGCGTCAACAGAAACCGTGACCATCTTGTTGAGTATCTACAGCCAGGGTACTGGGAACATCTTATCCATGTAAGACACGTCAGTTCTTTGACCGTGTCCTTGCTCTCCCAACATGCTAAAACAAATGTGGTCATACACATAACAAACACTTTGTTCCATCTCTACAGCTATGACGCTGGAAACATCTAATCCAAGTGGGAGACGTCAGTTTGTATGTCAGGGCCTTTGTCATCGAAGCACTTGCAATTAATAAACTGGTTATACAAATGAAGCATTTAAAAGGGTTACATATCATTTTTCCATTACAGTGTCAATAGATCGTCTTTCAGCGGGGAAAAATTCAAATGTATGGCTCAGTCTTCACTGAGGTGCTAGACGTACCAAAGAGGTCAAACTAATTAAAGAGAGATCTTCAATCCTTTAAAGTGAACTAAGTAATGCATTACCTGGTTGTAAACACAGAGGGTTTTTCCTGGTCACATTGTGCTCATCCTTCAGGTGGAAATCCCTGAGCCAGTGCAGCGGGGTGTAGTAGGTGAAATACACCGGTTTTGTTCCAGTGTTCTTCACCTTCAGACTGACCAAACACTGTTTAAAACAGAGCACATCTATGCAATGTAGCTTCACATTGGCACCGCCACCAGCAGCGCACGGAAGCGTCCTGGCGGGTGATTATCAGAGAACGTGGCAGTCCTCGCGTTACACCACATACCTCATATGAGCGTTCGACGCGCAGGCAAAGTTTCCCGTTCTCAAACTGGTGGTCCGAGTCAATGCAGACACCATTTTTGTCAGAGATGAACTGAGCCCTGTGGAGAGAAAAATGCACTGTGTTAAAGGCGGAAGAGTTGGTGTGACAGTTTGAAGACGGCGGGGACGCATTTTAAATTGTCTTTAGCGTATATTATATTTACTGCTGCATGGAAAGAAGTGAAGGTAGTGAATGCAATGGCGACTGGCTTCATCCCTGTTTACCTGTCCGTCTCCAGCCTGTTCATCAGAAGGCTCGCCAGCTTCCGTCGGGCTCGAACTCCCGTCTCTGCCACATCTGCGGAGGTGTACGTCTGCACGGTCCCGGGACCTGCTGCTTCACGCTGGACTGGTTCTGGCCGACATCTCGTTGCCGAATGCCACTGGTCTAGAAAAAGGGTCGTGACCTGTGCAGAGATTCACTTCGAGTCAATTTGGCCTTCAGATCAATTCCTAAAACCTCCTCTATCACGTAACTAAGTTTCCTCTGTTGGTTCTGTGAGATGCATGTAGTGGTAAAACATGTTGTAAACATTTGTCTGGTGCTAAAAGCCAGGTCTCAAGTGTTTGACCCTGATGTGCAGAGACAGAAAGATTTAGGGTTTGCAGCTGTGTCTGGAGAAGGGGGTTAACTTGCTCTCACAGACCCTCGATCAAATGAGCATTGTGTGTTACCCTCAGTTCTTATCTCAACTTGATTTGTGGCTTCTCGTAACTGGCACTGAGGACGGTCTTTATGTGTATAAAAACTAAGCGTCTTTACGCCATTACACGGAACGCTGGAATACGTGCTGGTGTGTTTGACCTCCTGCTTGCAAGCAATAGATAGAGACAGATATCTGCGGCGCATTGCTCATGAAATCTCTTTCTCTTCTAAATAAATGTTAACTTTTTGATCAATGTGCTTGATCCTTCTCATCAACCAACTCAGTTCATATGTTTCCGTCATATTAAATCATTATCACTAACTGTTAAAATCACGCTGTCCTAGAACCGGTAGTTAAATAGTACAAAATGAACAAATGTGTACTCTTTATAAATGTATGCATTATACTCTGCATAGCAGGACGCTGTTAAGGGACGTCCACTGACCTACTAGTTACTACCGTCGGCTCACAGGTGCAGATATACTGTGACCGGTCAAGTGGAGAAATAAAACGTTAACCTATAATAAAAATATACATACTGTACTTAAAAGTGTGTAACAGTGTGTACTAACAAAGTTGATTCTAAACCCAATGAGGCAGAAAGTACAGATGAAGATGCCACTTGTATTTACACTCCTGTTTGAGATCGATCCTGATTAAACAGCTGATAAGAAAACAAACGTGTATTAATTTGTTTGCTTTGAATAAGAACATCTCAGTGCCAAAAGCATAACGCGGAAGAACAAACCGTGGAGTTGAAGCGAATATTGTCCCTTCGTCTCGTTACTTTGTTGGACATCTTCAGGCCCCAGAGGACTGAACCGAAGTTCGGATCTTTGGTCCCCGCGTTCCTAAAGAGAACATAAACACATGGAGGCGTTCAGGGTCCAGTGGGGGTCAAACATCCGTCCAGGTCCTCCGACGTGCAGCACAACTACTCGCCTGCTCCTGAACTCCGCGTTGTAAATGTCCCTCAGCTCAATTCTGTCCGTGATGGACTCTCGGTTGCTCTCCTTCAGGAACTCAAAGAACTCGATTCCAATTTGGCAAAGAACGGAGCGTCCCATTTTAACCATGATCGAATACTGATACGAGGAGACGCTTGTTGAATTAAAACCGGAGCGCGGACCGCGTAACGCTCATCGACGTGCAGCTTCTATTCGCGTCTCAGGGGAAATACCGGGGCAGGGACTCCTTTTTTTTATTCCCCGCACAGCCCACGGGGGCGGTGTTCCTCTGGTTCTCGTGTTAAATCACGGGGATGGTACGGCGGCGTGCGGCGGTAACAAAAACGGGTGCACCCTGAACGTCACAGTCAGCCCGGAGAAACGAAACTTAAGCGAATGAGCAAAACAAAACTGCTGACACATCGAATCAAATATATTCTATATAATATGTGCTCACATTGCTGCCGAGAATCAATACCAACAATGGAAATAATAAAGATCTTTGAATTATGAATGCTGGTCCACATGTTTTTATATATAAATCATTGTTTCCTTACGGCACCATAAGTGATTTACACGAGAATGAAAAAAGCATTATTATTAGGAGGAAAATATAGCGATTATAAGTGATTGAAATGGAGTAAACATAGTCGGGTTGTTCAATCCACAGATGGTTTCAGTCTGTTTTCCCTGTCCATTTATTCCTTGAGACAGATAAATAAATAATGCCAAGTGAAAACGGCAACAGTGTGTTTTTATTTAGTCTAAATTCCCCAAACAACTGCATTAAAACTGTTCAAACTGGTTTAAAAAGTGAAATTTGAAACCTAATTGTTCAGATTAAAATAGATTACAGCTTCCTCGAATCTATTGTTGGCATAAACCAGCACCACTTCTTGTTACACAACATTTCTTTCACAACCCATAAAGTGAGTCAATATTTATTTAGTTTGTTTGCAGCAGGTGCTAATTAGATTAGCTTGCCTTTACATTTTTTACCTTAGTAAAAACTCAAGTATTATTTCAGAACGTTCGGATGTAGGCAGTGATTCAGGGTTAGGTTTAGGCAGTGATTCAGAAGTCTAGAAACAGACTATAGACTGAGTGGCAAAGCTGTTTGACATTGAATTGGCTTGAATCTTTTGAAAAAATCTGTGGGCTCAGCTGTTAGATGACTTACAGAAGAGATCCAACAGGAAACATACAACACTAATTTAAACACCATTAAAATACACACCTAGTTTCCGGCGTCTAAACCAGTTTTTTATTCTTAGTTTTTCGTGTAATGCTGGAGCCTCAGATGATCGTGTTGGGTCTGGTGGTGCAGCAGGTTTCACCTGTCGCTGCTCCACCCTCCACTGTTGGTTATAGAATTAAAGATCAACGCAAACGTCAAAGAAGAGATTATGAAGTGTGTGGGTTATGACTCATCCTGCATGTTACCGGAGGCTCGGTGATCTTCCTCTGCATCGGAGACTGTGATGCCACGGTAACACCCATTAGTGGCGCAGTAATGGATGAATCTGCAAAGAGGAGTCAGTCCATGAGGCATTAGTTATGTATTCGTCCAACCAGTCCTCCCTCACAGAAATCGATTTAGGCCGGTGAGCCCCCCGGAGACTTACGTGTTCCAGTTATGGTCAGTTTTTAAGACTCTCGGGTCTCCAACCACAATCAGCAAAGCTTGTGCGCGGGTCATTGCCACGTTGAACCTCTGGGAAGTGTCAGACAGTGTGCACGTCTCACTCAGTGTGAATGGAAATGCTGGTTCTACTACTGTGGACACTAATTAGTTTGATTAAGTTCATCAACATAGAAATGTGTCCCCAGCGAGCTGTCTGCAGGAGCATCTCATTTTTCACAGCGATCTCGCACACAAACATCGTACAGTGCTTGAATTATTGTGCGTTTGTGTAACGTTTCTCACCCTCTCATTATCAACAAAGCCTAGAGTGAACTTTTGATTTGCTGCCGTGAGTTTGGTCATGCTGCGCACTGTTGACACCAGAGTCACATTGAACTCTTTACCCTGGAACTGCTCCACTGAACCCACCTGTGAAGAATATATAGATGCAAGCTTTATTAAAGCAGTTCTCTCAAATGCGTTTTGCAACAAATTACATTCTGTCTCTTTACCAAAACGTTTTCCAAGTTTTCCTTCCTGAGATCTTTGTCCACCTGAAAGGCTTTGTTGATTTTCTCCACCTGTCAGGACACAAAAATAGGACAGATGTGGTGATCATTACAATGTTTGATCAAACTCAAATGTATATCTAATGCGACTATCGGTGTAACAATATTCTATTGCTAAAGTGGTGCTAAAGATTGCATGGGGAGATATTTTAGGGGGAACTATGGGAACCAGGATTGTTCCAAAATCGTTAACAAATGATGAACAAAAAAAGTCTTGTCCCTTGAGATCATGAAAATAAAACAGCTTTTTTAGTTTTTCACACATAAAGGTTTTATACACAAAAATAAGCAATCAATAATAATTTATTATAATTACTTGCCATTTTTGAACAGTTTCTTCCTTATGATGACAGTCAGTGGGGAAAATGTTCTTTTAAAAAAATCATATTTGTGTTACATAGTGATTGGTTCGAGGGAATAAAGACATGAAAGCTGGCTAACAGTCACTGCTGTTTTAGTGCATGGGCTTCCCGGAGTTTTAAGCATGTTGTTTTTTAAACTCCCAACACAACACTTTTAGGGTGAAAATGCCTTTTTGTTAGTGCTGCATAACTGACTGAAATTTGTTTCCCTTACTGACGGAGCGAGTGAAGGTGAGACATTGAAACTGGCTACATGGACTCTCTCTTCCTCCGTCATACACCCAGCGTGTCCACGGATGATTTTAATAACACACTCACTTGCTTTCTGTATGGGACAATGATGCCGATGTTGTTGGGCTCAATTTTGTTCACACCCTTTTTGTGAAAATGAGCCACGAGGGCTTTTAGGTATTCCTTCAACACGTCCACCTCAGCCATATTGTAAACAGAGGGATCGTTGCTGTCACGTTCATTAGTTCCTGCCACTCCATGGAAGATCAGAGGGAAACCCTGAGAAGACGAGCGAGAGATGGCAAAGCGGACAGAGGAACAGGCAAGACGTGGCAGATTTGTGTTTGTGTTTCTGCATTACCTTCCTGGGCAACTGTTCCCATCTGCAGAATGAACTTGTTGTCTTTGTATCAGCATACGATTGAAGTTCTCCATCATAAAAGAGCTCATTGGGAACTTTTAGAATAGCCGGATGGGACCTGAGAAACAGGAAAAGAAAACCATTCAAAAGATGGTTTGGTAAGCAAGAGATTTAATTATTTAAACCTTTATTTAAGCTTGGGCATGTGGACAGACGTGTCAAAGAGTGTATTCAAAGTAACATTGCAAGATGACAAATCAACAACTTTAATTTGATGTAGAGAAACCTCGTCCTTCTCACACCTGTAGTTCCTCAGTAATTTGGATATGAAGCGGTTGTTGAACCCATATGTCTCGTGTCGCTTGTAAAGGTCGATGTTCATCAGACGCTCCAACATGGATACACCTGCACAGAGAACACGTCCGTGAACTTCCTCACGCTTAGGCAACAATAAACAGTGAAAGTTCAAGATCTGTTCAGTTAGTTCCATCAAATGAACGTGGACCTAGAACCGAACCCGTGTGTTTGTAACAGAGTTCTCACCCAGGCCGTGTGTCTCCGCCAACATGGACGAGATGATGGGGCCCAACTGTTTCGGGTCTCCAGCCAGAACGACCTGGCATTTGTGTGGTTTCAGCAGACCTTTTGGAACAAACCCAGAAAGGGCACACCAATCAACAATCGCACGCAGACGCGTTACGTAGCAGCATGCTTCAAAAAGGTGTTTGGGGAAACAAGTCGGGCCGAACAGCTGCAGAGTCGGAGGGATGAAGGTGCATGAGCAAGCCAATGTAAACAACAGGGTGGGGAATCATCCACTACAGAAAATTGACCTCTGGCTGTTTCAAAGCAAAGGAAAGCAAAAAACGAAATGGCTCATTTTGTGAACTGTCTCCGTTATCAACGTCCATTTAATCGTCCAGCATCCAAACAGGAAGTCAGTGGAGAAGTTGTAAAGCGCGCCTGTTGCTTGTTTATGACTGGCTGCCTCGTTTAGACATAAAGGCTCCGGCTCCGAAACGTTGAAAATATATGAACCTTTATGTGCGTCTCGTAACCACGCGGTAAAAAACGGTTTCTCCGGGCAGCGCGTTTTTAACGACACGTCTCGGTTTGATCGTCCCCATACAGAGTATGTTAGAGCTTGCAGTCTCGTCACCTGCCAAAGGGATGAGACACTCGGTTTCTGCTGAATAGCTCGCTTCATCTACAAACAGATAACTGTAATGTGCTGAAGGAATCCCTTTCGAAACCAGCCTGAGGAAAGACAGGGAGAGAAAGACATGGCGGATCTGTAACCTTCTGTCAATTTGTTTGTATGTTAAAACATTTTCTCATATTTTCCTCATTATGTTTTGCTTGAAAGTGGCTACGGCTCAGGGCTCAGCTTGTGTTATCCAGGAGATCAAAACAGGGAACACTGTAATCTGAACTGATCATAACTAATTATATGAACAGTGGATTTTCCCAGTAAGCCACTATAGTAAACCAGCATGCATGTAACCACAATACCTGTAACTTGCACACCTAAATTCAACCAATAATTATATTATTAATTGCACCTGCTGTGAAATGTCAAAATAGGCATTAGTTGTTGAAAAGAATGTACTGTACCGTGATGCGGTTTGTAGGCTGGTGACCATGATCTTATGACTCATCAGCTCTGCTTTCAAAGGAATTTCAAATCTCTTGGTTTTTTGGTTCAAGTTGCAGCAAGACTAGAAAACCACAAAGCGAATACGTACACATAATATACATATATTTGCAGAGGTCACTAAAGTTTGTCAGGGATTATTTGAAACTTTCAAAAAAACGATCAAAGAGTGAGAAATATCTGATTGATATAATGTAACTCTTTATATGTGTTGTCTTTGTGGATTTTCCTCAACAATCCCCATATGAGATTATGGTGTATGTGACTTCTAGCTGAAGTCTATTGTTGAGGTTTGTTTATTTTTGTGGGAATATGAGAAAAGAATATGATGAAATCCAGACCTTTATCATTTCGGGGATTTTTGTCACAGAGCAGCTCAGGGCGTACAAGCGGTACACACTTGGCTTGGCTATCTTGTCTTGCAGAATCTTCTCACACAGATTATCAGTTGCACTGTTAGAAGGAGCGCAAGCCAGGATGTTGCATGAGGGTCGCGTCTTTACTATCCGCTTGATGGCTTCCACCAAGGTCACTGTTTTGCCTAACCAATACATGTGAAAAAATATATTGTTCTGTATGTAAAAACATACTCAAAGCAATGACATTCGGGCACCAGGAGGCCTTCACACACACATCCGTGCAGCATACCTGTGCCAGGTGGACCAAAAACCAGGTACGGAGCAGGCTTCGCCGAAGCAGCTACAATGTGTTCAACGGCCTTGCGCTGCTCCGGATTGTTCTCAAGCTCAAACGCCCTGATGACAGAGACACGGATATGCAAATAAATGATATCAGAGGTGAGGTTAGGAATCAGGAATCATTTATTGCCAAAATATGTCAAACATACAAGGAATTTGTCTTGGCGGTTGGTGCGTGGCAGTAGACAGTGTAACAATAGACAAGACAGCAGTGCACAAGTAATAAAATAAAATAAAATGAAATGCTAAAGTCAAAGGAGGCCGTGCTCACATGCAGGCATGTTTACATGTAAGGGGAAAACTGCATTTTAGGGACAGATGGGATACAACAGTACTCATGTGTGACCTCGACTGTGTCACGTGTTCTGGATGTTTTGTCTGGAGCTTGAGGTTGTCTGACCTGTGCAGATGTACCCGGTGGGAAGACGACTGTCCAGTAGGAAACAGAACCTCCCGCAGTCTGCATTTGTACACCAGTTCTGCTGCTCGATGCTGGTTGCGCAGGGGCATGCGGTTGATGGCAAAGCTTATGTGGAACCTCATGCCCTCCTTGAAGCAGCTCAGGAACCTGCACTCAAAATTCACACGTGTGGTGCTATGGACCGAAAGACTTAAACAACTCAATTGGTGAGCACGGTGTAAGGAAAGAAACCGACAACTTAAAACAATGCAGGAAACAAGAAGCACTTTTAGTGTATAACAGGACTACTTTCTCCACTCTCCTCCAAGGCATTGATCATTGGTGTCATCGGCATTTGTATCAGCCTTCTCCCAACATTTCTCAGAGAAACAGAATCAAAACCAGAGGAAATTTGGAACTTATTTCAGTCCGGCCGTGTTCCAGAAAAGCTTCGAACTGTAATTTTCAGCCATCGCAGTAGTGAAAAGGGGTTTTCAGACAACTGATGGAAAATCGTGTCAATGTGTTTTTAATGCTGGTTTCTCTGTGCTTAATCATAGAACAGCGTAACCATTTAGATTGCTTGTTCCAGAAACAAATATCCCTTTGTTCAATTGGTGATTTTAAACAATCATAATTTGTATCACGCGGCCATTCAAGCACTTCAAGCAGCATGCAGTTATCTGTAGTTGATTCTATTTCGGAGCAATTCAAAAAAAAGTGTCCGGATTTAATTGAAATAAACAAACACACCACCAAACAATTAAATAATCCATGTCCCATTTTCGTTCAGGAAATTGTCTGTTCTTACCCATCATTTAATTCCAGGTAGACTTTCTCTGCATCCACATGACAGACCCAGCTTATGTAGATTTTTCGAGGGAAAGCTTTCTGGTCTAAAGGAGTCAACCAAACCTGTAACCCGGACAGAAGCGATGGTGACATCCTAGAGATCCCTGCAACCTGGTGACACAGCATGTGAATACATAACAAAGGATTTAAATCTGGAAAGCAATAGCAGTTGTGTCTATATATCTTGATGTGTGAGTGTGTGTGTGTGTGTGTTTATATGCGTGTTAGGCACATCACCTGCAGAAATACTAGGTCTGTATGGCTTTTGTGACTGAACATGGACACATCCTGACTTAATTTCTCAATCTCTGTCCTCTTCTGGAGCTCCTCTATATGCAGCAGTAATTTGAACCTCTGCCAGTAGTTTATCCAGTTCAGAGGCATATTCTCCAGGTGCCTAAATAAGTAGCAAAGAAAAATGGTATCACTTGTACAGGCATGGCACACGCGTTTTTTGCATGAACATCCATGGCTCATTATATAAAAATGTGCTGTTGCATTACATTTAAAGACTGTCTACGTCAGAGAATATATTCTTAGATGTGTTCTACAAACCGGTATCTTATTACATAATCTCAAATATTATTGCCACATTTATCAAGGGGGGATGATATAATGAGTCGCTAGAGAAATATTGGTTCGTCCTAATCCAATAAACTAAATTTAACACAAAAAATGTGCACCTTCTCGTGTAGAGTCTGTGTGTGTGTGTTTGTGCCAGTCAAAATACATACATGTTGCATTGCTTGAGGTCTTTGACACAGTGGGGCATCGCATACAACTTCAAAGGCACCAGTATTTTATTTCTGCTTCTACAACAGGAGTGGGAAACCAAAGACGGGACAGAACAGGACAGGACTCGTGTGACAATTACAAACAATCTGCTGTATTTAGATTCGTATGGGTGACAGAGGGAAACCAGAAAACAGTTCAAAAACAAAATCTGTTCACAGGCTTCCCTGTAAATTTGTATTCATTTAAAAGTCCACGTGATAAGATAATGAGGTATAATTAATCATTTTAATAAATATTGGGGAATTTGATGAATAATGTTCTACAGCATAATGACACAATATCAACGATAACATGACATTGAGTCGACATACCGTCCATCATCTTTTGGTACTGCAGTTTGGAGATCACACAGGTTTGTGGCTGTGGGGAGGGGCTCTTCACTGAAAGATGTTTGACGTATGACTTCCAAGAGGCGCATAATCATTTTATCTGAGGCCTGAGGGTGTGTTTTGAATTTAAAGACCAGTAAATGTTCGTAGAAGCCGGCATGCTCAGAGCAGAAATGGACCTTGAGTTTGTATTCTGCTCCTACAAAGAGCATCACAGAAAAAAAGGGTAGGATATTAGGATACATACATGCAATGACATGGACATAATGAAATGTGGATAAAAAGTAGAATATATGTAGAAGTATTTTTTTAAATGCTACTTTTATCATTTATTGTAAAATAATAAATATGTTGTAAACTACACAAAATCAAAATACATTGAAATTGTTTTTTGGCCTATTGGTAATTTATGTTCTATTCACAATATTGTTGTTGTTTTCCGTCACATCACTTCCAGCGCTGTTTTTGTTTCTAAATGGGACATTAGGAATTGTAATACCTGGTCCAAGAGGGAGATCCTTCAAAGTCTTGATATTGTTTCCATTACAGTCCGTGACAGTGAATATGTCCTTGACGAGCTCCGATTCACAAAAATTTAAATGAACTGTTGTGACACCACAATTTTTCACGGCAAGCGACACAACTTTCTGTTGGGCAGGAAATACATTTCTAAAATGGTCTATATTATCATTGCAATTACGATTAAAATACATATCCACAAGTCACACAAACACACACACAGCACACTTTTTTGCTTAAAATGTTGACTAAATGCCATGTTTTTAATTATGTAATCATCATTATAATATCTCTCAGCTTGATCATGAAAAAATAAGACCTATTAGTCCACCTCAGTCTCACCTTGTCGTTGCAAACAGTGAGGCAGATCTTCTCTTCCACCGAGAGAGGGTCTGATGTTACGGTCACACTGTGTTGATCGGGGATCAGCTGCGCTCTGTGTTGTTGGACAACAAGTGATACCGCGAGGCGTATTTTAAATTATACCCGCTGAAGATGAGCAGACGCACACAATATCTAGAGTAATAAACCATTTGGGGCAGCCGCTGTCATCGCACGATTGAAAGAAGGTTTGAGGGCTTCGTAGAATTTTACTTTATGGGTGTGTTTATCAGGGCACTGATTTTTTATAGACACAAATGTCTATTTAGAAAATAACTCCTATTTGCTTAGCAACAAGAAATAGTTCCCACGTTGCAGCAGTCACGTTATAAATGGACCACAGAATTACTCCAGTTGTCTTCTTGGACAAAGCAGTTCTGTTAAAATGACGATACCAGTGGTATCAAGAGCGGCTCCCTGTCAACGTCTCCGGCTCGTTCTGGTATGTCTTGTTGTTGAATTGATTCCTCTCGTCTCTCGTCCTTGGTAGATGGAGCCGATTGGTGAGGCGGGTGAAGTGAAATTGTTTTGAAATGAACTGTTTTAATAGTTCTGATTTGTTGAGACTAATTCCAACCGGCCAAGAAAAGCTGCATGTAATCTCAACAAAACAATTGTCAATAAAGTATTGAGGGTACGTGCAGTTGAAAGCTACAGTCTCCTGAATCATTCAACTGCTCTGCTGACTGGTGGTGGAGGGCCGCTGACAAACACCTCGGTTCCAGGAGCTGAGTTTCGTCAATAGCTCACTCGTTTCAGTACCTTATCTTAGCATTGTGTTATGTTGCTGTTTAAAGATCAGGATAACAAGGCATCTTTTGTCCCCTTGAAAAAGGTATGGTAGCCCTCTTTCTCCTTCATTATTTAAAGCCATACTGATATAATCCATCATCGGCTGTGAAAAGCCTTAAAAATATGGAATTTCAGTGTAATAATGTGACGAAAGCTGAGAGCAAGCGACTGCAGAGCTCATCTTTGTATTATTATATTATTTCATTATCCTTCATGAGGGCATTTGTAAAGTTTAGGACAAGGAATAGGAAAAGTTTTTAAAATCCATATAACACCATTCAGGTTTCAGCTTTGCAATGAGTCACATAAGTCAAATGCATTTAGAAAAGGATCATGTGAACAAAACCTAATTTATCTGTGACTTTTAACACCAGTCATGTAATGATTAAGTTAAGACACCAGCATTGTATTGCACATTTGGTCTAAGCTTTGTAATTAAAATTGAAAGCTTTCTTACGTGTATTGCTGAAATAACTTTGCTATTTTCTGACGAGCTTCAATCTTTTGACAGGCCACCTCAGACGTCTGTACTTCACATTTGGGTGTGTTTTGTGATGTTCCTGGTACTGCATTCTGGATGGACTCCACTGCAGGCGATGCTGCATGCAGCGGCTCCCCTTGGTGCTGGACGAATACACTCATATGGTCCTGATGTACTAAAAAAAGACCCAGAAAATATCATTAACACACTGTCTGCAGTATAAGTTATAAGTTATCCCAGGAGTTGTGATTGCATTCAAATTGTAATAACCATGTGAACCTTTAGATTCTGGCTTGTGTTAAATCTTTCAAGTGTCATCATAACACCTGATCAGAGGCTAACATAGATCCCCCGAAAATAAGGCCTACGCTCAATGATGCACGTTGACCCCGAGGTCAGGTCATCTGAATTGGCTCCAGGAAGGTAACTAACTTTAAATTAATTTGGTAGTTCTTAATGTAAAAAGAGTTATGGACTGGTTATGACGTCTTTGTGATAGACATGGTTGACAGTGACACTTGAAACAAAAACACAAAATACACAAATGTGTCGTATAACGTTAGTCAATTAAGTTAGCTAGGGAGCGTTAGCAGCTAACGCCAACTAGCTAGCTAAAGGTAATTAGCTAGTTAGCATTAGCTAATTAACAGCTAGCTAATTAGCTATCGTTAGCTGCTAACTCACATGCATCAGTGGAACGCAGCCAACGTTAGCAAACGTTGAGCTAACGTTGCATTAAATGGTGCGACGTTTGAGCTTGTCACGGATTAAGGCAGCAAAGCAAAGAGTTAACGTTAATTAAATTTAATGAACTCTGTGCATCGGTTAGTAACATGATAACTGACGGGTTTTCAACACGTTCATAGTCATACATAGATAGCATGTTACCTTTGACAAATAGCACTAAAGTTAACTAAACGGCTTCGATCACAAAGCAAATCACAGGGATATAAATGTTACACATTTAACAAACGATGAAAGTTATAGTAACTTACTTTGTATGCAGACAACAAGAATTTACTTGCAGCACTGGCGACTGGGGGCGAATTGAATTGAAAGATCAGTTTTGATTTGAAAATAAATAAGTTCATCCTAGCAATTGCTGGTAATGCGCCTTTTAAAATGTAAACAGGTGTGCTGGAGTGTTTGATATCCAACTTCAGTCTGTTTTAGTTTGACTGACCACTAGGGGGCAACGCAGACTAATTCTTAGTGTTTGTGTTTAAACAGGCACTGTTCGATGTATTTCTTTGATATAAATGTCTTCAATTTTAGCAAGTTGCACAAATTGTAAGCCATCACTATTTTGTGACTTAATTTTGTGGTTATTTGTTTACCCTCTTGAAAAGTGCGATATAAATTAAGATGAATTTGAATTGATTTAAATGTGGCCTTTTCTACGCTTCATTTACTTTAATAACAGAATTCTAACCTTGTAAGTATTTCACTGATGTGGTGTAATTTATTATAATGATCACATTTTGTTTTATTGCCATTAAGCAAACTGTTGCTGCACACAAATGAAATAAAATAATAATAAGTATGGACAGGGACTATATGTACGTATGTATGTAACACAAATGACTATATGTATGTATGTTATTTATATGTACAATAATTACCCGCAATAATAGAGGGTAATAATAGAGTCTCTTTGTTGTTGCGAGTTACAGGATTTAGATAAATCTCCCCCTTGATAGCAATGTGCATGTGTAACTGTTTATCTGACAAAATTGTCGATGCATTTGTGTGTCAATGACCCACAGAGACAGCGGAGCAAAGAAATTACTTAAACGGCCGCAGCTGCATATCCATGGCAACAGGGCGTTTCAATGGAGGGACATTATTGGCTAGAGAGCAGGGTAATGACTGCTCCGGCCGTCGGAATGCCTTGATCTTATCGCCACGGCAAGAGGGGATGCTCCTACTTTCTGATAGTCTAATAGCCCTTGCTCTAATAGACAGGCGGCCTGGGCCACCGGGGTCACTCAGAAACACAGGACCGCCCCTCCCACATACACACTCACACACACTCACACACATGCATTTTCTGGAATTCTCTGCGAGATGTCCCCGCTCGTTACAGAGAAGATGGGTATCATGCTCACTGTGTGAAGACGGCTGTGAACCCTCGTGTCTTCACGGGAGACACCGCCGATACCTATCGAGACCTCGTCCTCGGAATCCTCTCCGGAGGTTGGGATCCAGGGAGCTGGGGAGGTGGAGGTAATTCTATGACATTTTCTTTTAGGACGAAGAGAGAGCAGAAGATAAGAGTTTGTTGAAAACCTGTTGGCAGAAGAATCGCCTGTCACTTTTTTGGCACCCATTAGACACTTTAGTACTTGCATACCCTTGCAAATCTCACACAGCACGGCGGAGTGTATACATGACCAAATCCTATAAGTCCACTTGAATACTACAACAGTCGTCTTCTAATCTGTTTGTTTGAAATTTGTGATGAATCTTCAGTTTTCAGCACACCCAGTGCAAGCCTTATCCACACCTATTTGTCCATGTTAAGGGTAAAGTTATTTCTCAACACGATTTGGTGAATGCCAATGAAGGAGTGTGTGTGTGTGTGTGTGTGTGTGTGTGTGTGTGTGTGTAAATGTTCCTCTTTATCTCACTCAATGAGTGAGTGGAGGTTGGCTGTAAGGCTATCTGTCCCTCTCAGACACCCAATCTGTCTCTGTCACTGTGCCTGCAGCCTGTGAACACACACACACACACACACACACACACACACACACACACACACACACACACACACACACACACACACACGCTCAAACAGACATATCATTGATTAATTGCCATTGGCAACATTACCTTTGTTGGATGCTAATATTGCATCAGTGTCCCCTTATTGTGTATTTGGCGTACAAAGCGACCAAAAATGTAATGCCTTTTGTAATGAATGACTGGAGTTGATTGTAATCAAATTAAGAATCTGAAAGTTTAACTGTATTAAAGTCCCTCTCTGTCTCCGTTAGGGCAGGTGAGAGCTGCGCCTGGACTGAAGTGTCCCATCGAGTTTCCTGAAGTGGACTTATCTCCCACCATCCCTTCTCACGTCTCACTCCTGGGCTGAATCCCACACTCATGTCTCTCGTCTGTGCTCGTTCTTACACACAACCCCCTTACAGTTGGCAGAGTGCTGCAGGATACTCGAGGTAATGATCGGGTGTGTGAAAACCGGACGGTTAATGGAGACAGCGAGGATGTAGAGAAATATTGTTGGCTCTGACCAAAAAAATCCAACTGATTCTCAGTGCACAGAAAAAAAGGAAGGAATCTCAGGAAGGAATCTTTAAGGTTTGCAGTTATGGCAACAAAAATCCTCATAATTATGTTTTTTCTATTGATTTAGGACACGATAGTAGCAAGTGGAAAAGCAATGAGGAATGCCACATTCTTTTGTGTAATCAGATATGTATTAGACCATGTGCACATGCTCAATGGTGAAGGATGGAGATGAGGAGGGAGTCATATTTAAATGAACCCCCTTGGTGTGAGGTCGGAATTGACCAAGACACACAAACAGTGTTGACATTGAAGACATAGGTGCAAGAGCCGTCCAATGTGGAATGCAAGAGTTTGTCATTCCACATTTGTTGATGCTTGCGGTTTTCTTCCTATGGGACACGTTGCAGTGTATCATCTATTTACACAGAGTGTAAATGGTTACCAAACAAACACGTTGCAGCGTATCATCTATACACACGGAGCTGCTTGAAGTTATGTTTATGTGGCGCCTGTAACGGATCCCTCGTTTTTATTTTACAATGGTTTTAGTAATTCATCCACAAAACGTCTCTTACTTGAATTCTCTTTGGAAGGCGACAATGATTTGTAATAACTTTATTAACCGATCGTCTGTTACAATCTGGGGGTTGCGGCCTTTGCTGGATCTGTTGTGCTTGGTTGCGTATGACCCGTATGTACCTGTATAATCACGTTGACTTATCATTTCTTTAGGTCTTCCTGCATATCTGCATCCACTTTAACCTGGTGAGGTCCCTATTGTTGTGAAGCGGAACCTTATTTATTTTACTTTTTTTTAGGCTTTTCAAGCAGCTTTCATTCTTCCTCCTTCACTCTCCCTCTTCTACTCTGTACTCTGTATGGTGAAGCAGATGTTGCAACAGGTGGATTCACCACTTCCAGGGTGGCCATATTCACCAACTAACCCCAGACACTGGTGGCCTTCGACATCGCCTTCAGTGTGTTATGTTCCCTGTGCTCTTGTTGTTGTATGCGGCTTGGCTCTCCATGTGGTAAACAGCTGTTGGTGTGTGCTTCAGTGTCTGATAAACACATTAGACCGTTGTTTACTCCGCGCTAAACTATCGCAGCTCAAACCCTCGAATAGAGACGGAGCTCCAAGCCGATGAAGAGTATCGTTATAGTACTCAGGCTGCACGGGCACCCACACAAACACTTGACGACCTAGTATGAGTGTTTGTATACAGCGTGTCTATGTGCATATCAGAGTATAATTTCCATGCACAAGATGTAGACGCGGCATGGCGTTACCAGCACATGGTGTGGTGTGTCCCGGCAATTGTGGTCGACGAAATATCCCAATTCCTTTAGAAACCAACGTGACGCGTCTCTGCTCTGCTGAGCGTTGGTCTGAAAACAGTCCCGTGTTAAAAAAAGTCCAGATATGCACAGCAACAGTAAAACATCATCCATTGATTGGAAATATAATAAAATACTAGATATATGAGGTCAGACTCCAGCTCCGGGTGATGTAGCATTAGTATCAACGCTCGGTTTAATCCTGTGTGAAAGCTCGATTATACTTGATTGAATTATCTCCTTGCGGAGAGTGGGAGGCCGCGGCATAAACAAGTCACTCTGGACGGGGAGAGGGACGGATGAGTTTCCTCCTGTTGTTTTTGTTACACCAGCACTTTATTGTAAAACTGAAATGATATTGTTCCCGTGGCAGCTCTGTGTAAATGTTTTGTGCGCAGTATTCCTCCATTTCATGCCGAGCGCCTGCTCTGTTTACCACTGTTTACTGAGCGACTGAGGCTACTGTACTGTGTCCTTGGTCTCGGTGCTGGTGGAAGGTGAACCCCAGACGTTGGTAGCGGGGAGACTCTTTTTTTTTTTTTATTGCTGCTCTGGCTTTCAGCCACCAACAGACAACCACATAAAGTTAAAGATCACTGGGCCAAATCTAACTGGAAAGGAAAGTTGAACATTGGCAGAAAACTGCAACTCAAAACACAAACAAACACATTCCACAAGGAGAGTGTTAGTTTGTGTAGTGTGAGTTTGAGATGCGTCGTACCACTGAATTTGTGTGTGGTTTGTGTTTCTAAAGGTGAGGAGTGTGGGAGACTGGGAGTGGGACGCTGGCTCCAGTTATTTGATAAACACATCGTCTTCGCTCTAAGCAACAATAAACACACAGTTGTGAACATGTTTGCGTACAGGTAGACACTCCAGTAGTTGTGTTAACATTTCCCCAATCTTCCACTTTAAGAAGCGTGGGCTTTGGCTATATTTTGACTCCTTCCCTTTGGCAGAGGTTTGAGGTGACGGAGCCTAGTAGAAGTCACAGGGATGAGATGGTTTGATAGTGTGTGTGTGTGTGTACGTGTGTGTGTGTGTGTATGTGTGTGTGCGCATGCTTGGATGGCTTACCGCTATCTGTCAATGTCACTCAGGTAGCCATGGTATCACTGTTAGTGTCAGCATCGGTGTGTCAGCTGGTATCGCTCACTGGTATCTATGTCTGTGAGGCCTACATAATTTGACCCTGACCCTGTATCTCTCCTGTTTCCCACACCTCGGTCTCTCTTTGTATGTGTGTGTGTGTGTGTGTGTGTGTGTGTGTGTGTGTGTGTGTGTGTGTGCGTGTGAGAGAGAGATTCAGTGTGTTTTGTCGGCCCGGACCCCCAGATTCCTTGGTATGTTGGTGGAATTTCGACTATTTTACCAGGTCACTGTTGTTTGTGCCTTGCGAGGTGTGTCCGTAAATTCCCACACAGGGAGGTAGATAAACGCGCTCACGCTGTCACGCGTGTTTGCAAACCTCGTCACGTGGCCGCCCTCACCTTGTAGTTCAAGAATTCCCTGTGACCGACGGTCTTAAAATGTCAGGGTCAGCACCGGCGCAGTGTCGTTGTCCTTTAACCCTCATGGCGGCTGCCTGTACGGCAGACCTGCAGTCTGCTATCAAGCACTAAGCCCACCGGCAGGTCAGTTATATCAGAAATAAATTGGGGATGACAATTAGGCGCTGTGTGTGAGAAAATTCAGGTCAACATATGATATATGTGTTAACAGTTGGGGCAGTTGTAGAAGCATCAAAACTGTTTTACCTGCATTGTTGAGTGACTTCTGACATTCCTGTTTTACCAATGAAGGAGAACTGTTGGGAAAACTCCTGCTTACTAATTCTGGTTACCAAATAAACAATTGATGCAAGGTGGCACCAGTGTTTTTTACTATGATTGTTGCTGATATGTTATAGTGATGAAAATGAGTTGCTGTGAACCATTATGGGAAATGTTTGAGTAAACTGGCGGTTTTTATGTAGGTCTCTAGAGATAAGTGTTTTGTATCATAATGCTCTTTTCCCCTCATACCTATACTCTCCCTCTGTCCGTCTCTACACCACTCGGTACCTGGCAGGTCACGTAAATATTAGTCTGAGCTCCCTAATAAATCTGCTACTCCTGCTGCTCCCACAACCTCCCAACCCAAAGCTATTGGCTGCCATGATCCCTGTAAGATCCAGCAGAGTGAAAGCACGAGAGAGGGAAGAGTCGACACCGCGCTGCAATCCGCCGTGGGCCATTTTAATCCAGCCGAGCAGGTGCTCGTTTGAATGCATTCACTCCGGGGAAGAGCTTAGCCACACGAGCAAGCCGTTAATGTTTAGAAGGATGTCAACAGGCAATGGATCAGTGGCGGTCGTTCACAGTGCCGAAAGTTCTCTGTTGATACGCCTAAACTTGATGACCCCCCCCGACCTCAAACAGACTCTCCCTCCACCTCCGGGGAAAAAATGACCTGAGTTCCACTGCCCTGGAGGTCGACACACACACACACACACACACACACACACACACACACACACACACACACACACACGCACACACACACAGACACACTTGTAAGTTTGGAAGCACTTTCTGATCACACACATTGAGTGACTGAGTAGAAAGGCTCGCCAACATACCGAGGACTCTACCAGACAGGTGAGAGCTGAGCTCAGGGGGGCACTGAAGGGGTCTCATCCTGCCCTGCAGGTATGTACATGTGAATATGTGTGCAAAACAGATCGCATGGCCGACACCTAGACCACCCCGGGGGCAGTGTTATAGAGCAATTGTTTGTAGGGTCTCCGGCTATATTCCCACCAAGAGAGACCTGCATCAGTGGCAAGGAGAAGGAGCAGGAGAGAGGTGGATGGGGGGGGGTCCGAGGGATGTGGCAGGTGGGGCAAATAATGATGATGAATTGTTGGGAACGCGGAATCTTTTGGCTCAGATTAAAATCTGCTGATAAACATGCCCGCCAGGTCTCCAGGTAACCCTATACCCCCCCATCCTTTCTTCCCACTGTCTCACACCTCTTTCTTTTCTCCATCGCTCAGTCCAAGATGGATTTTAGAGGTTAAGTCTGGTCACTGTCTTGGTGGTGGGCTCTGTTCTGTCGTTGTACCTCCGGGCTCTCTGTTTGTTTGTTTGTTTGTGTGATGTGTGTGTCCGAGGTTGCATGCATGTTTGTGTACGTAATCGGAGTGTAGTTTATGCTCTATTGTCAGTGTAGCTGACGTGCATTACAGGCTGGACGTCAGCCTGAACTTTCACCACCGAGGCCCAAGGGGGCGTCGGGATTGAGAGAGAATGTGGAGGTGTTAAAAAAAGTTTGAGGACAACTGTGATGAGGTTAAGAAAAGGGTTGGAGCTGTATGCTCGACACTGCAGCGACGTGTGTGTGTCAGTGTCAGTGTAAAGGTACAGACGCATAACGTTTCCATTCTACCACATTTCCAAACAGAAAAAGCACACAACTTCACGGCTAGGATGCAGGTGATATATAAACATTGATCATAGAGACGGGACCTAGTAGTAACTTGTCCTTTGTCAAACATTGTGCTGGTTTCTGATCGAGCACATCCTGTGAAAATGCCGCAGCCAGCTGGAGGTCGCACTGAAACAGGAAACGTATGTTTAAATTTGACTGTCGTACCTGCTTCAATGCAACTGAGTGGGAGATGGAGCGTGTTGCAGGAGACCGTAACAAACGTTTAACACAATAACGGCAGCGTCCTACTACCTGGGAGGCAACCGTTACATTTCATTTCAACAAGACATATTTAAGTTCAGCTGGGCTACAGTCGGAACCGAATTGCTTGTGCCAGCGATTTGGTCCCGGTCATATTTCTTGGCTTAGTTGTGTTATTGGCTGAGAATTGCGGTTCATTACAACAAGGGCCTTGGGTCTTACTCAGAAAGTGAGTATTAGATCAATAACCAGGGATGACGTTGCTGCAATGGGGCAATAAATACAAGCAGTCAAGATCCATTATAAACAAACCAACACGTCCATAATAATCCCCCTCGACACAGGAAAACGGTGTACGCCCAACTGACACAACCAAAAAGTCATCTGTTCAACTGCAATGGATGGTCACAAAGGTTAGGTGATCATTTTAATGGTTGCCATCATTTTCTCTTCCAAATAACTTTGGCGCTCCAGGGGTTTGTTTTAAAAACTGTAGGATCATCTTTTTAGTGAAAACACTTGGGTTCCCAGATCTCTTTGAACTTGGCGAGTGCCATTTTTTCTCAGCCAATAACAACAATGCAATCCATTCTATTGACCTAAAAAACGTACGTGTCGATAACGTTAGGTTTGCTGCAACAGGAATGTCCTCTGGGACACAGATATACTTTGCCACAGGAAGCTGAATTGAATTGCTCGATAATATTACCGTCCATATTACCAATAAAGCTTATGTAATCTAACGACACGGGCGTCTTGTGTCTATTAAAATACAGAGGTTGACGGCTCTGTTTGGGGAAGATGGTAGATTTAAAGGTGAGTCGTAATCGAAAACTTTGATTACAAAGCAGCAACACGTGAGGATATTGTATTGATCGAAGAGACACAGAAGAGTAACTTGTGTAAAGTGTTTTCATCTCAGCCGATGTATGTGCGCAAGACAATTTGACGACAGAGGTCTTGCATTTCGTGTGTCATGGCTTTGGTGTGTGTAATCAGGCCCGAACATGGCTGCGTCCGGTCCCAAGTCCGGGGAGAGACAATCTTACCACTGTAACACATACATATACGGAAGAAAATATTGTTTACATGATACTTGTCTCTTAAATCTGTGGCTGTGTGCAATATCCCTTGGAATTCACGTTAACAAGAGTCTGTGGGCTCTTAACGTAACACACACTGAACTTTACTGAGAGTCTGGATAGCAGAGGGGGTTGAGACAGAGAAGATTGCAGGAAAGTATTCCCTTTGATAAGCAGGCCAAGAAGCCTTTGATTAAATGTGGTCCCAGCAGGAGACCACACTAGGTCCTCTGTGGCACGACCATGTCCAATCACCAGCTATCAACAGCCCCCGGTAATTATAGCCATCTAGTCATTAGCCTGTTACCCACCTGGAATTCCACAGAGCGAGGGGTGAGATGAGGCCAGCAGGGGTTGGGGTTTAGGTCGGGCTTCTAGTCCAACACTCCCACACCACACCCCGACTCACACAGAATCCACCTTTGTTACCGACATAGATTGTATTATGATTACTGCCCCAGTGCCTCCCGACGTAGGCTTGTGAGGAGTAGTGGTAAGTGTGTGTGTCTGCGTGTGTTTGCAGGTTATGACAGCGGTACAACGGGAACTTAACTCCGTCACACTGATTAGTTCGGCTCGGTCTGCATCTAGTTTGCCTGTGTGAAAAAAACAATCATTCCAGTGTCATAATAATGCACCATATATTTCATATGAACATCTGTTTTGATAAGGCAATATACACAATGTTATACAAGCAAGCTGGAGAGTAGAGAAGTGAAACTTGGCTGATGTTGTGGTGGCAGTCGTCTTACACGCTGAAAACTAGAGTACACTGTATAATCATAATAATTGTGCTCTTCTCTCTCCTCGTGTCAGCCAATGTAGTGCAGTCACATCCACGAATGAGAAATGAAACAACACTTTACATTTTAAATAAATCACTTTAAACAGCTCGTCTTGTCTTTGTTTTTACTGTTGCATTTACTGTCCCAATGACGCACCCGTCCATTTATTCATCTAGTGTCCTTCTCCCTGTCCTCTGGTAGTCCTCTGCCCGGACTTGTGTTTGGCTACACAGCGCCAAACTCACACTTAGACGTCCACTTCTCAAAGTGCACTAGTCAAGCTACTTCCCGACCAAGTCCAACCTATAACCCCCCCCCCAAAAAAGAACATTATGTGAGTATAGGATTTTGTTGTAATAATACTAGATATGTTTTAAGGCTCAGTTAATGTAAAACTGTGTTTTTAAGCATCGGGAAAGCAGCAATCCATCTAAGCCCAGTACCACACACAGGAAGAAAGGCCTACTGGACTGAGTCTTATAAAAGCAGGAGTCAATATAAAAGTCCAGTCCACCCAAACCCAAAAAGTGTTCACTGGTTTCACCGTTCCGCTGTGCTAGCAGTTGGGTCGCAGGGCCGTTCACAAACAGGGATTAATGGGTGTTAATTCATATTGATGGGTACTGAACTATAGTGCTTTCACAGAGACGGGTATAAAAGCCATGCAATGATGAACCAAGGAGGTGGCAGGGGCAGGGCAGAGACGCAGAGCACTTTCGGACAAACTTTCCCAGAATGCCATGTTCCACAGGATGTCCCGTAACGGGGAAAGGGGTGGGGTTGCATTACAGGGGGCGGAGGGGGGGGCGGCGCGTCCTCAGGTCTGGTCCAACCATTCTGCACGCTTGGGCGCTTTGCACGTGTGTATGTCCACAGCTTCCTCGCAGTCCTTACACTCCACGGCGCAGCACCATTTGAACTTGCACTCGCACTTAGTGATTTGCTTGACTCTCGTGGTGTCATAGCCCCGCCCACAGCACATGACCTCACAGCCATCTGTGCCGCGTGATGTCTTATTGCAGACACGCCCGGCCGTGCCCAGGGAGCCTGCACGGAGCACAAAAGAGACATTTTAGCTTCAGGAAATGGTTATGGACACTTTAAAAAAAAAAAAAGACTTGTTTACGAGGCGCTAACCTACAAACTGGGGCGCCGAAATAATGCAGCAGCAGCCTGTATATAAACACGGTATGAACAACGTTCATCGCGTGCTGTATGTCGGTGAGCTAAAACCCAAACCCATTTGTAGGTTTATCGTGTTAGATTGTTTTTCAAGATCCAGGTAGTGGCCAAACGTGACATCAGGGATGTAACCGGTGTACTACCTAAACTTTGTTTGAAACCATGTGATTTTAAATTCAGCACAAAAAAAGTAAAAGCCCGCCCAATAGAAACAAAAGAAATGACCTAATTGATTCTAATAGTGTTAATATTGGAATTACATTTGTTGACAGGGCTAGGGTTAAACAATTTTAGGAAATATAATCAAATTTTCATCATCATCACATGGAAAAGCCTTAAAGTGCTTGTGTTGTCATCCCATATTGCCATTTTGACACAATTTCTATTAATTGTTCAATCCTACTTTGCAGCCTTTTGTTCAACCTTCTGCAGTTCCTTTTACCAAACGAGAGATATCAGATATCTTCCCCTCAGAATTATAACTAGGCTACTCAATAGATGAAAGGATCCCATTTAGACAGCTTTAGATTTGTTGTTAATGGCAACTAAAAACATAGATTCTTCACAAAACAACATACTGTTTTAAAAAAAAAAACTACAAAACTAATCATCTCTATCTAGAAAGATTTAGTTACGCATACTAAAATAGCAGCCTGGAACATAAATTTGTTTACAGATGATTTATGTTCCAGGCTGCTCTTTTAGTAATTTGCAATATTAAAAACATTTCCTTTAGCTCTGCAGTGGCGTTGCTGAGTGTATTTTATAGTGTTTAGGATTACCTAATATAGGGGCATATCGTCTGTCTTATGTGAATGTCATCCCCACAGAGATTAGTGCTGGTGTTTTGTGTGAGAAGCTCCCTGTTTGAACTGCTACCTATCACAACAAGCGACCCGTAGAACAACAGACCCACACACACAACTATGCCGTGTTGGTAGAGCGGCCTATAGTTACACTGCCTTTCCCAAGCCACTGCTCCCTTTGAAACCACTCTCTGCATGTGCATGTGTGTGTGTGTGTGTGTGCGCCCGCATGTGGGTGTGAGGGTTAAATGGACAGTGGAGCGTGACAGACAGACAGGCTCTCACACTCTGAGGCCCACTCTGCCCTCAAGCTACGCTTAGTTCAGACAGACGGAGAGGGAGAGACTGTGACAGACAGACAGAGGGGACTTTTTTTTGGGGGGGGGAATTAGCTGCTTGTGTCCCTAGGCAGTAGATTCCGATGGGGAAGGTGAGAAAGAGGGGGAGGATGGACGGAGGGGACGAAGGGAGAGGGCAGACAAAGGCACAGAGGAAGAACTGGACAGAGCTTCTGAGTGATGGAGGTCTCCATGTAGACTATTGTAAAAGTTGGTTTGACGGTGTTTCATCAATCAGAAAGAGCCATAACTAATTGGACGTATTGTGCAACACTTCCTGTGACCATAGGGTTGTGTGGAATGTGTGCATATGTGCGTATGTATGTATGTGTGTATTTGTGTGCGTGTGTGTTGACAGAGACTGATAGAGGTCAGGTGGTCACAGAACATCCCCAGGGTACGAAGATATTAGCTTCCACTGACATCACACCGGAGTCCTGCTGTGTTATCTGAGTACCATTACACACACACACACACACACACACAAACACACTAGTCATGCATGAACATACACACAACATACACTTAACACCCCTAAAACATAACACAGTTGAGACAATCCATCAACGACTATGGGAAACGGCCTTTCTTCCTCTTTCAATCCAGTCAATCTTCTGTTTCCCTCTTTCTGCCGTCTTACCTGCTGTTTTGTCTTGCAGGCAGTAATCCGGAGAGTTCTCAAAGTAGACCAGGTCGTTCTTGGTGGCCTTCCTGAAGGCCTTGTTTGCCACGGCGAAGCCTGTCCCGTCCTGGTTCATCGTCACCTCAATGGCCCCGTTGTATTTTCTCCTCAGGTAGTCGCCGGTCTTCCTGAAGTCCGACATGGCCATCCAACATGTCCGCAGCGTGCACGAGCCGCTCACACCGTGACACTTACACTCCAGCTTCATGAACCGCTTCACTGCCTAAAAACAGAGCGCAGAGGGGATTGTGTGAATGCATTTGGCCATCTTAATGTTTGGTTTGACATGTTCTGTGAGTGCAGCATTAAGCATTCAGTGCAGAACTTCACCTAATTTCATGAAAACATATTTCTCACCTAATGCTCTAGTGGTATCTGGTCTTGTATACATTTTATCTGGTTTCATCTGCCACGGTTTCAAGATATCTATCCACCTCTGACATGTATGCCTCCACTGCAAGACAATGGCAAGCATTGCAAGAATTTACCTTGGACAATCCGCAAATCAGAATGAGGTTTTATCTCAACTAGTAATAATCCCTAAAGTCCCTGGGTTATCTAGAGATATGGAGACTTTCTGGAAAGATACCCTTTCACCGACATTGGGCTGTTAGCAAAAAGCTCAGAGCCTATTTAAGCTTTGAGTTATGGTCTCTAACTGTAAATTCTATCCGTATACGGACACATCCAGTCAAAGGGTGTATGCAAGTTTTTCCCCTTCATCGAAAGAAATCTAGTTCTCAATTAAACAAATCTGAATGCAACCCTAGGAAGCTTATCTTATCCCCTGCCAATGTTTTGTAGGAACCCCTTGCAGATTTATCAAATCCCCTGCAAACAAAACAATTTTGTAAAGTTGTAATTGCGCACTTACAGTTCTGCCGCAGCGGTTGTTGTGCAGGTTCATGAGTGCACGTGCATCTCGGACTGTCCTCTCTTTGGCATCGATGAAGGCTTTGGCAAACTTGATCCCATAGTTGATATTATCACTACAGCCGCCCCAGTCAAACTCTCCTCTCTTGTCGCTAGCCCGTCCCCGCTTGTGTGGGTCACAGTTACATGTTTTCAGCTCCCCCTGGCTGCAGGCGCGAGTAAGCGCGTAGACCACTCCTGCTGAGGAGATGGCGTAGACAAATGCTGCTTCTCGACTGCCTGAGGAAGAGCGAGAAATCAACCTTGAGCATAGGCTTATTCAATAAAGAAATTGTTGTAACGGATATCATGCAATACAATGGATTTAAGTACGGCCTAAAGACAAGAGAAAAAAAAACAGAAAGAGAGTATTGGCTTGTTAAACTGTGCAAGCCACATGCAGACACAGACAATGCCACGGGCAGGCCTGGGTGTGAGCCATCAGAACGTGGGGGTGCAGCTGACAGGGGGCATATCAGGCCTGATGTGGAGTATAGGACAGCTTTGTTTAAATATTATCATGGAAATAATTCCAGCTGCGGGGCTCTCCTCTGCTCACGTAAATTGTTTAAATACAGACACTGTGATACCCCATTAATCAGCACCAGGGTGATGTCATGGCAGCAGTTTCTACCATTACTGTGCTTTTCTGGTCTTCCAGTTATTTAGAATGTGAGTCATCTGTTGTGCGGCCAAAGACACGTTGAGAATTAGATCAAGTTGTTTAGCCGCAGTGGTCTTTTGTAATCGGCAGCTTGCTGTGAAGACATTCAGCTCACGAGAGGATTGACCTTTGTTGGACCGTGTCAACATTGAATGCCCTTCAGTCGGGATTTTCTGACATCCACCTCACGCGCATTCAACCGGCCCAAAGTTTCAATCAAAATATAGTTTTAAGGTCACAACTGTGATTTCTACCTCAATCAATTCAGGTGTCAATACAGGGCTCTTAACGGCTGCTTTTTTACTGGAGCTACACACACACACACACACACACACACACACACACACACACACACAGCATGATGCAAAGAGATGAGTGCTCCCAAAACATGCTTGACCATTTTAACCTCTTTAACACTTAACCTTTTACTCACAACTGTACAATCGCAACCACATGATTGCTGTTTCGCTCATTTGAATTTACAATGGACGGCAAAGTAAGACATTAATACATTGAGTGAGGAAATTGATTTACTATTTTTGGAAATTGGGAATTATTGGAGTAACAGCACTTATAAAATCTGAAAAAAAGGCCGGTATAGTACTGCTAATAGTGTGAATGAATAACGGAGGGGAACCAGCTGAGGCTAGATGAGTTTGTGTGGTCCAAACTACTTGCTCTGTATTCCCTGGAATGTCCCGTTTCATCTCCAGGGTGTGGAGAAGGGGTCAGTGGGTACTGTTGAGGTGCCGTGTGTGGGGGAGGACGGAGGAAGGTATTGCTGGTCATCATTCAAATCTGTGCTGTTTGTCTGACAGTGAAATATCTCCCTAAATATTTACATCTACATTACTGTTTATTCCCGTCCTCCACACATGCAGCCTGTATCTCCACATCTCCTCTTTTTGTTCATGCACTTTTGAATCCCCAAACAAGCTTAGTCCGGCTGGCTAGAAGAGGAATAGTAGCCCGACTAGCACCTACAATTTAAAAATCCCTACAATGAACTACAGCACATTAGGCGTTAACCTTTGTGCCAGCTACAAAGCTACAAACTCGAGAGAAAGTATAAACCGAACCATTACCACAAAGAAAGTAGCATCAGAGAGCCATTCATGCAACAGTGACTTACAGGTGCATCACTGCGTACACGCCCTGCATTCAGAATGCAGCTGTAATGACATTTAATGCAGAATGCACTATTGTTGCTAAATCATGTGTGATGGACAACTAACACAACTGTCACCATTTACTATTTCATGCAAAATAGCTGGCTGGTTAGGACACGAATGCTATCAGGTGTTTTCACTGAATAGCACCTGTTACTATTATTCACCATATTAATGGTTCAAAGAGTGTGCAGTTATAAAACCCTCCATAACGAGGAAATATACATGCGCTGTCTACAAAGAGGGTTGGAAATGTATATTGTAACATGCATGTGTGCCGGCATGCATTTGTGCAAAGGCACAAATCTGTCGCACAGCTCAGAGGTTTGGCAGGAGTGGAAAAACAAAAGGACGACAAGCCTGCGTCTGGAAGCCTGTGTTTTTATTGACGAGGCGTACGGGCATTACAACAGTCCATTAGCGTCTATAAACATGGAGCACCGGCATCCGCGAGAGGGGAAAGATCGGAGAAAGAACAGAGTGAGCGGAGATCGACGGAGAGGAGAAGGGACAGGCAGTAAAAATTGAGGAAGAAAGATGGGGAGTGCGATAGTGGCAGATGGTGTTCAGGTTTCAGACTCGGTGCGCATCTCTGTTATTTGGCCGCGATCAACTATTAGACAGGAAGATATGTAGACACACCCATTACTTACTCCGTAGCAAGACACGTCCAAACACGGTGTGGTCGCGGTCCAGCGTGCTGCAGTTCCAGCGGTGGTGTCTGAATTGATGTTGGCACTCTCTGATCCACTCTTTGGTGCCCTCACCGATGGCCTGCATGATGTCTGGGTGGCGCTGACAGAGTTGCCGCTGCTTATTCACCAAGCCTGGGATGTTGTTGCAGATCACACGGGCCCCCAAGGCACCAATGTACCTGAAGACGCAATGGACACAAGATAAACTGCACCAACCTCCTTCAAAAGGATTCACGGGTATTGATGGTAAATTGGAATTAGTTAGCATAGGAGCCCTCGTGTGGTAGGGATTTACGCATGTGGACACACACACACACACACACACACACACGCTCGAATGCGTTTAGTGGCGTGAACGAGAGCCGCGGTAACAGTCCTCTGTGAGTCAGAGTTCACTACACTTAACAGTTTAAGGTTTGCGAGCGGGAGGGGAGTGGAAACCATTTACTCTGCTCTTCAAATAAATAAGCACTTAACCTCTCCCCACAAGACCTGCGTGTGTATGTGTTTTCAAATGTTTCCCAAAGGAATTGTAGAAATCACGTCGTCACAAATCAGAGCCCGATGTCTGGGGGCCTCCAATAACCCTGTCAAACTAAGTCCCCGTTTATTCACCGCTCCTCTCTGCCTTCTGTCGGTTGGTTCTCATGCTCACACGCGGTTTTTTTTTAATCCTTGAGCCCCCCCCCCCCCCCCCCCGGCCAGATAAAAGTTGCTCCTGCGGTGCCCCATCGAGATAGATGCTGCATTGAGATTCCCCAGAAAATATGACCTGAAGTCAAGTTGTGTGTGCACCAGACGTTTTTTGCAGCTCGGTGGCTGCGGAGTTGTGACGGGCCAGCGAGTGGAGGTCAGGGAGCGTGTGGCTGTGTGGTCGTGTTTTACGAGGTCGGCCGATGGGAAGGAGACCGGAGGCTCTCTGCTCCCCAGAGTGGGATTAGAGAGGAGGAATAAGAACAGAGTGCTCATCAAAGGGACGAGCCAGAGCAGCAATTCACACTTCATTTTCTCTCTGTGAGTCAGGAGGACTTTATAGGATAGTAAATCCTTATCCACAGGTCTAAAATAACATGCTGCAAAGCGCTGCGACTACACTGTGAATCGTGGAGGAGAGATAAGTGGGAACCGATTTCAAAATGTACTGACCGCTGGTATTACCGCCTTCTGCCGCGTCATATTCTCAAGCCCTTATTGAATCAGGAAACACGAATAATCTCTTCTCTCGAATATTATTAGTAACTTTTAACCCTTTAAAAAAAATACTTTGAAGAGAATTTGTGTATAATGAAGTTGTTTTATTACACGCTCAAATATCAAATATCTCCAACATCCCACCATCATTTCCCCGGATGTGTCCATGTCATCACTTATTCTACACCCACATGCATTTGATTAACACTTAGAGACTGCTTCCTGAGCACACGTGAAACCTATAGTCCAAACCCACACACACCGAAGTCCAACTACTCCCCATAACTGCTTTTAATCTACACAATATTAAGCATTCCATACCCGCCCACACAGACACTTCTCTCATAAACACACTCACACATGGATGCATGATTGCGCAGGCAATGAGATATTTTGTTCACCCCTCACCATATATACTCTAGATGGCTGCTTTTGGGGTATTTTAGTGAAGTAATTTGTGCGCGTGCATTAATGCTCTGCCTTGTTTTGCTGAATACGCGCTCAGCCAATAGCGCCGACATCAATTACATTTATTGCTTTTTATTATTGCACAATGTGGCAGGACAACAGACTGACATGAAGACAAACCGCATTTCAGCAACTAAATCCTAAACATGATTGAATAATTCGAATAAATCGTAAAAAGCAGCTTATTTTAATTTTTTTTTTTTTTTTTCAGGAGCAAATCATTTTGAATTAAATGAACTCTTTGCAGTTGTTTCCTCCTAAAAACACCGAGGCAGCGTCATTTGGGGCTTTATAAACAATGCGTTTAGATTGTTTGCTCCAAATTTCAAATACGTTTATAATATTACAACATTGATGAGAAAAACCCTGTTGGCACATCTTGCTACAACAAGAGATCAAACCCTGTAAGTCGTGGGTTTGAATTAATTGAGTGTTTTTCGATGCCAATTCGTTGGCAAAAATACAACAGGCTGAAATCTCAGCTTCATTTCAAACGATTTAGAAAAACGACGAATGTTCAAGCAGTGTTCTATTTGCTTCAGTAATTATCACCATCATTTAGGATAAGCGATGTCTTCCCCAAACAATCTAATTGTGATCCCCTGAATGTGGCGGTCCGGCAGGTGGGCCTGTAAGTGTGACATTGTACTCACCACCATGACGAGTCCACCCGAGGCGTCACCAGCAGCAGCAGCAGCAGACACGCACAGTAAATCCTCGAACTGGCACCGGGGTTTTGGCATGAAGAAGACCGGGTTGGGAGTTTGGCTCCCGGCGAACCACAGCTCCGAACCCGGGCAGCCCGGAGGCTCAGAATCCGGTTCACACCCAGCATGACTGCGCTTTTTTCTTTCTTTCTTTTTTAACCACGAAACGTTCCCCACCCCAAAAATATAAAGCTTTACGTTGGGACGTAAACAATTAATACGTAAGGTTTGATGTGAAGTATGTCAAGCACCCATTCAAAAGACGGGCCTCGTTATCCAGTGTGTAGCTCCATATCAACAGCGCGACTGTCAGGAGTGCGAGGAGCGCGTTTTCTGTGCCATGTGCGCACCGGGCTCTCCACGGAGCGCCGCTGGCTTCCGACTGGAGGTTTACCTGACCAGGCGGAAAAACAAGTGCCGTATTCTTTTTTTTTTTGTTCACCCCTCCAGTCAGGTCCCCGACACGTATCCTCCGGATCACGGCTGGAGCGAGAGGTCGCGGGAGTTGCGCGACTCGCAGCAGTTGTGTGGACTTGGTGACTCTGCGGTGGGTCGGATGCCTGCACCGGACCTCTGCTTTATCAGCGCGCTGCGGGCAGACTCGTGGCTGAGAGAGAGAGAGAGAGAGAGATGAGGGAGGGAGGGAGAGAGGGAGGAGGTGGGTGGGGGGGCTCATCGCTCCCATTGGGCAGACAGAAGGGTTACAGAGTTTGGCTATAGGAAGGAGATATTAAAGAGGGATGGCTGGAGAAAACTGTGTGTGGGGGGGCGGGGGTGATGCTGTTGAGGTCGAGAAGGTCCAAATGTGCGAAGTCAATCTGTAACCAAATTGTTATAATTGAGGATGGCGCCTTCATTTTACAACCCAGTAAAACTGCGTAATTAAATCACACGGAAAATGTGTTCTTTCATATTTTAAATGGGTATTTTCCATTCTTGATTTATGATGCAATGATTGTTCGCCAAAGAATAACCAGAGACCAATATGCCCTTTTTACACCAATATTTTGGGAAAGACTTTGTTAATTCCAGTCACAGATTTATCTTAAATATGTATTCTCCCTGAAAGTCTTTTGTTATTGTCTATTCATTAGAATCAACATAATCATATTCAGTGGATATATATATATATATATATATATATATATATATATATATATATATATATATATATATATATATATATATATATATATATATAACTTCTTCCACAGTTCTACAACTTTGACAATAGAAAGTTAATGCAAATATCAAACATGGGGTTGCAGGTAAGTCTTTAGGCTAAATGTGGCGTATTACCATCGTATCCAAATCAAGTGCTGTCCCTGCAGTATGACACCTGTGACGTAGGTCATTATTCTGGGTGTTTTTTACAAATAATAATAATTTAACTATTTGTAATGCCTGCACCACCTAGCAGAAATAAGAATAGAAAAGCAAAGGGAATGTTGGACTCAGAGAGCAGAGCCAAATGATCCAGTGGAACGGCACTATGCTTAAATATGAACCACATGTGAGAGTGCTGAGACAGCGCTGAATAAAGTACACACACGCACAAACACACACACGCACACACGCGCACACTGGAGAGAAACCATCCTTACCTTTTCCCCCCATGCGTGTGTGTATCTTGAGGCTATCATCCATTATCAAATGTCCACAAATGTCTCTTTATTCTTGAATTACTCCTAAGAAGTGAAAATCCTAATTTTGGGAATCCAAAAACGATGAACTGAAAAACTGAAAAAAAACCCTAAAAATACACTTTTTCTCACCGTTCCTGTCTGTGTAGACTTGACCTTCTCCGGGGTGTTTGTGGTCTTGTATTAAAAATACCTCAGTTGATTCAGCTGACCCGGTAATGCTAACACACAAACAAATTAGGAAAATCCCTGCTGGAATTGAAACAAATTAGCTATAGCTGTCGCAAACTGCTATTTCATCGGAAGCTTGAGAGAACGGCTCAAGTGTTTACGCCAAAGCTGCTGTTAAAGCTAAGCTCCTTTTACAGACATTTGTATTTCTGCTTAGAGCTCGGCGAGCAGGCTGCTGGCCGAATGTGAAACACACACTTTTCAGAGACGGCCACATTCACAAACACTCAGGCTAGAGTGGGTACAAGTTTGTGCGCTGCAGCTTAGCTCACAATTTTCTGCTAAATCAAAAGGAATTAGGGAAGCACAAACATGACTGAGTTATGCTTTGTCTCCCATGGGGCCGGAGCTGGAACAGACTCTCTCTCTCTCTCTCTCTCTCTCTTGACCCCGGCTTTCTCCCCATAAACAATAACAGTGTCAAACGCCTTCCTCTCGGTTGGAGGAAAAGTTTGCCCTGATGTACGTGGTCTAATCTGGCAACCACCTCCTCAGAGGAAAAGTACCAAGTACTGATAAGGGACTTGCAGGGAGGAAAGACAACGGGCTGAGTGAACCGGGGGGGGACGAGCCAGCGGCGTGCACCACGGAGGACAAATAGCCCAGTGATGCGGCCCCTGTGGGGATTATGCTGCGGGCTGTCACTATTCAGGCCGTCCACAGATGAGCTCAGGGTGTATTCCCATCGCCTGGCAGGCTGCAGCGGGGAGCCCAGCCTGTCGTCACACCTGGCGGAGACATTTAGATGGTTTTGATGTGAGTGGTCTAATTGGGGAGATGTTAGCTGTGGAGGTACCCGCCTCGTCTCTAACTCTTCTGTCCCCTGTGGGGATAGAAGTTCACTTACAACAGAAGGTGGAAGAATTGACACGTGTTGCTTAACACCCCAAAAATGTTACGTTATTTCATTTCGACTTTTTGTAAGCAGTCAAACATTGTACTATCTAAATATTGAACTCCAAGGATGATTCCCCGTAGATGGATGTTAGACCGTCACAATGTCTGCGGTACGTCGACGTGAGGTTTGAATAATCAGGCCTGAGTAGCTGTTTGGAGAATAATCAGCTGAGAATCTGGTAGCATTATCTATAAAGCGAACGAAAGGTCAGAATACAACGCAGACCCTAAAAATACACTGTCCTGCAGCGACAGAGTAACCGCTGTGCGTGTGAGTGTGCCGCAGAGACAGATCTGTGATAATTTATTGTCCTGTAAATTTAGACCTGCTGACAGAGATGAACTGCCCTGAACAAACGCAAGGGTCTGGAACTTGGAAGTTCTTCAAAGGCTTTGTACGTTTGTCCCTGCACAGATGCAAAACAAAATGCTCACACAGCCACATCCATAACCGCCGTCACGGTACGCGTCCATCGTGGTCGGCCTTTAAAGGGTTAAGCCCTGAATCTTTATGACCTGTTCTTACTTTATCCACAACGCGGTCTGGCATTAATAGATTTTATAGCTCCTGTGAACACAATAAGTGTATCTAGATGTGATGGTGATAACTCTGTAATAGAATGTTTATTAGGTTGCTGGAGGATGGCATCATGCTGGACAAATTGGGAGCATGCATACTCATGAACACACACACGCACACACACACACACACACACACTAGCTGTAGGGCAGGTGATACAGCTAAAATTAAAGGAATATTTTAGGACACTTCTTATGGAGAAAACAGGCCCGCTCGGCTGACATCACATAGACCGGGGCCGAATTGTATATATAAGGATTTAAATGTACCTTTCTAGATGCTGGTTAATCTGACAGCACATTGTCTCCCTGCTCTCTGGTCGTGGAACACTTTGTGCTGAGTGGTTTCCTGTTTTAAGAGGGAACTGTCCGTGTGACATCATGGGCAGCTGGTCACATGGCTTGCTGAGGCAACACGGTTGTAACACGACAAGAAATCAATCAATTACGTTGTGAAACTGTGTTTTTTATTATTTCACATGGGATAAGGAGTGAGTCACTATGTAAACAACCGGCTGAAATCATCGATAGAACACGTAGCCATCTTTTTATTGGTAGCAGGTCGGGATTTTAACTTGTTTGTGCCGGAGTTGAGCAACAAGTGCAATGAAAGCATTATAATGAATCAGGGCCATCGTTATTGGTAAAAGAGCAGATCCCCACGAGGTCCCCACGAGATGTATTTCAGGATTATGACACAGGATGAGGATCTCGTGGATGCACTTTTGTGTTCATGAGTGTGTGCACATGCAAGCAGAAATGTGACTTATTTTGGTCAGGGTGACTCTTGATATTCCGGTCAGCAAAATACTGAGAAAAAATAGACAGTTCACGTTTTTCAAGCCTTTTCTTATTCAAACTCAAAATAGTAAAATATTACTTTATTTTTGTGCTGTGGCACAGAGGGAGCTCGTGGGGATGGACCTACAAAGAATCACAATCCAACAGAAGTTTGCCTGTCAACATCATTTTTTTTCCACAGTTATGGTTTCACAGCCTACAACTCTCAGTTGTTTTGGTTTCGTGTCGCAGCTCAGAGAGAAAATAGACCCACCGAACACCTGCATGTGGGATGGACAAAGTTACAGATTATGTGGTGAACAAAGTGTCCTTTTACAGTGGCACCCAGAGAGACATATATGTCCCTTGGGGGTTGGTAGACATCGCGAAAAGGAGAGGCGGTTGGATTTCCGTTCAGCAGGTGACGAGAAATATGACTCAAAATGAATGTAAATGTTCCTCCGTGTCTGCGGACAACAACTACTGTGATGAAATCACTGTGGTGAGAACATTCATGGTAAAGGGTCAGTAACTGTATCGCGCTTATCTAGTCTTCAAACCACGGAAAGCTTTAACACAACATGTCCGGAATTCACACTTCTTACTGATCTCTGATTTGGGGTTAAGTGTCCAAGGAGACATGAACAAGCAGAGCGAAGAAGGACGCTGCTTCAACGCACAGTGGCCGAAATAAAGTTTGTCCACTTATTCAGTAGCTCTTCAGATTTGTAATGTTTCATTGACTGTCTCTGTTACCATTTATATTAACAGCTGCGTGAAACCCGAGTTCAGATTGTGTTATGTTGGTCATGCGAGCCATTTGTGACCTTTGACGGAACTGTCAAAAAGCTTTTGTTGGGCGGCTGCAGGAACCGTGCTTTCGGTGCTGTGTGTGTTCATGTTATACAGAACTGGATGTGACTCACAATGTGCGATTGACATCCAGTTCTGTAGTAAAAGTTGTACGGGCTCGTGTTTTAGGTTGCACTTTTGAGTGCGGTCCACCTCTTTGGCAAAAAGGCTCTGTGGTGAAGGCCCTAAATCGTAGAAAAGGTCCCTCCACGCCCTGAGTGATGAGAGCGGAGCTTAACCGACTGCAGGTGCGCTCAAGAGGCCGGGGAGGCCCTTTGAAGTGGAAGCCAACTGGGACCGGGGCCCATCTCTGACCAGCAGCCAGCGCGGACACATTCGCTTTCAATTAACACTCTCCCTTCTTTCCCGATCGGGGCTCTTTCTCTTTCAGCTCTCTCTTCCAAAACTATTTGTGTATTTTTCAGAAGACGCCTGTCTTGTTGCATTTTTTTCCGATTTAATAACCATTCATTTTGATTTAGTAATTGTCTGATATTTGTCCGGGGTTGTATGAGAGTGAGCTCAGATCTTACTTCACCTCTCACTTCTTGTTCTGGTTCATCCCATATAGAAAACTCCATGTCCTCAGTGCTTTGCATCTTTATGTGATGAAACATGGAA